GGCAGAGGGACCGTGAGCATCCATGCTTCGGCAGGCTGGATGCTGAATGCTCATCACGGCACATGGAGGAGAACCCGGCGACCGAGAAGGGCAGAGACCTCAAGGTATTCGCTCATCTGGCTCACCGATGGCAATCTTCTTCCTGCCCAGGTCATCGTAAAACTCCAGCGACAGGATCAGCTTGATCAGCGTGTTCTCCAGCGACTTGACCAGGAAGGGGCGGCGCCGGATCATGGTCTGAAACCACTTGATGTAGGGCACGATCGCCGCCGTCTCGGCAGGCGACGCCAGGATCTGGTGTGCGGGGATGGGCCAGGGGGAGGGGTCGGAGAGGGGGATGGAGCATGCACAGCAGGGTCAGGCGGCCCCTAGAGTAGGTCAGGCAACAGGGATGGGGGCCGAGCACCGAGGGGCATTTGGACCAGGCATCCTCAGACACCAATCGCCCGACGCTCGCTCATGCACCCAAAAGGACATGTCCGTTTCCCAGAGCAATCGGCAGCTGCGGCTCACGTTAAACTCCAGGGGCTTGCCCTCATGGGAAACATTCCCGCCAGTGGTCAGGCGGGCCCCCGCAAAGGCCACCTCGAAGAGCACATCGCCGTAGCGAGAGAAGTCAAGCTCCGCGCTGTCTAGGATCTGCAAGGGGTGTGCGAGAAAGGCCTTGGGCACCAAACGGCAGGGGAGCAGCCTCAGCCAGGGCGCGACAGCCGGGGCACATGCATTTGTGCATGCCACCAGTTACATCTCCAGCTCGCCTTGTTTGCTGCATCCAGGGTGCGCTCGATGTCATCAGACTCCTGAGCATCCCCGAGGACCGCAATGACAGCCTCAGCAAAGGACTGCGGGGGGATCCGGATGGGACACGGGCGTCAGCAGGCAGCCAACACAGATCAGCAGGGTCATTGGAGCAACAATGCTGGTGTCAGCCCATGATGCGCGCGTCTCCTCCAAGCGGCACCTGGGGATCGTGGGGAACGACGATGTTCCTCTTCCTTGTCTTCAGACGGACGCCACTGCGAGGAGGGAGGCACATGAGGGACACATCAGAGGGAAGGGCACCGGGGTGCTTCCACGATCCGCGGGGACCACGCTTAGGCAGGCTTCACTTACGCAAGCTGGGGCTTCTCTTCTTTCGTACTGCACATATGGGGATTGAGAGGGGGGTGAGATGCATCACGGGGCTTCAGACCAATACGTAAGCTCATCAGCACAAGGCAGGGGCCTGCCGGAGGTACCACCCGCACCTCATGCAGAGTCTGGGTTGCGGGGGCTTTTCCTCGGGGTGTGAGACGTACTCGAGAGCTGATTTCTGGACAGGGTACACACTGGATGGGACCTCACGGACTTGCGGTGGAGCACTGGACCACCAGCGTTGGGGCCAGCCTCCCGCCAGGTGGTGTTGCCGCCATGAGGGGGGCCCCTCGCACGTGAGCCGTGGGCGCGCGCGACATGGGAGGAGGGCCAGGGCAGTCACGCCCTCGCGCGCCACATAGTGCCCCTGACGGACCCTATCAAGCAAGACTGTGTTTTGTTACATCATAACGTGTCGACCGACACAGCTCTTCATCCCACTCGTCACCATGCAGTCTTCAGCCCTGGGCAACGCCCGTTCGGGTCAGCTAACCCTCGCAGTGGCTCGCCCATGCCGCGTGACGCGACTCCAGGTTGGTTTGTAGGGACTCAGTGTCACCAAAAACATGCATGGCAGCGTATCAAATCTCGACCTGTCGCTCAATATCTCCCTATCCCAGCACCCATCTCTTGTATTTGTACCAACAGGCGGCGTGTTCCTCCGGGACCCCTGGATTCTGGGGCCAGTACCGCCCCAATGCCGGCACAAATCGGCCCTTCCTGAGTCTGCCGAAGCTTGAGAGCCAGCAAAAGCCTGTGAAGGCCAGCACGGACATAGCCTTGCCAGGCATGGGGGGTGGGGACAGTGGACTTGGCGGTGGCGGCGATGGCACTGGTGGCAAGGGTGAGGGCGCCGGCTGGAACGAGGACGACGGCGAGGAGTACCTCAACCTCGCTCAGGTAGGGCCCGCGTGGTTGTGTGTGACTGGCAGCGACGGCGTCGCGTAGGTGCAGCCCTCCAACAGATGCCTGTCGATGCATGGCTCGGGCTGCCAGGCCCTGTCTCCTCCCAGGAGCCCTGTACTTCTTGTACAGTTTCAAAAGTACATATACTCTTCAGCGCCTCGTACGCATGCTCCCAGCGCGTGGCAGTGGTATATTCTCGCGCCCTCCTCGCTCGCAGGCAGAGGAGCTGGCGGCTGCCAAGAACATCAAGCTGCCCGCCGACTTTGCAGCCGCCGCAGTGGAAGGAGGCCTACGTCTGTCCACCCTGCAGCACTACATCAGCCTGCTGTCCGGCGGCTGGCTCACACGCTGGCTGGCCAGTACTATTCCAGCATTCCGGGACCGGCTCATTGCCGACCGCATGTTCCTCTTCAAGGTCCTGGCCGAGGTCACCATCGACACAGGTGTGCCTGCCTCCACCGTGCACCTGGCAGTTGGCAGGGGTCCCCTTGATACTGACCGACAGGTTACGGTTCTGGCAGAAAGGGGGGCGCAGATAGGTTCCCCCGTGATTTCCCCTGCGCTGCCTCGGGCCCTGAGCTTGGTCATGCGCTTCGCCTGCGCTTTGCAACACCTTCGATCTCCCACGCACCGACATGCCCTCCACAGGGTGTGCGACCGTGGCTGAGGTCAGGAAGCGTGGCGACGAGTTCTGGGGCGAGTTCGAATTCTACCTCTCGGACCTCATGGTGGGCCTGGTCCTGGACGTCGTGCTCGTCGGCCTTCTGGCCCCTGTGGCGCTCAAGGGCCGCAAGCCCCGCGCCCAGACCGGATGTGAGGGCGCGTGTATGATGTCGATGCATGCTGTGGCGTTTGGGAGGGTGGCTGCGTGCTCTGATGCAGGTACATGCCGGCCATGGGGCAGGGAGGGGAGGTCAGCCTGTCAGGGAGGGCTCAATCCCTTGGCCGCGCAGCTGGCGGTGGGCCTGCACTGCCCCATCGAAACACATCGAGCCATGCATGCCACCCACCGCGCCGCTGGACAGGGATCAAGAAGCGGCTGGCCGCGCTGCCATCGGCGGTGTTTGAGGCCTCCACCCCCACGCGGCCGTACACCGTGCTCGGTCGTCTGGGCTGCCTCGGGGTCAAGGCACTGGAGTACTCCCTGGCAGGCTTTGCATGCGGGCTGGTCGGCCAGGGGGTCGCCAACTCCCTGATGATCGTGAAGTGAGAGTGGTGGAAGAGGTTGGGCTGGTGATGGGACATGGTATGCACTGTGGCCTGTACCTCTTCACCGGGCTGGCTGTGGTCTGATGAGCCGTCAGTGATCAACCTGGGGCAGCATCAGCGCATGGTCCCTCACCATCGGCGCTCCGAGATCCCTGCCTGCCCACCCCTACCTGACCCAAATCCACCCTCGCACCGAAAACCAGGCGCAAGTACCAGGGCGCCAGGGAGGACGACGTGGCTGTTCCCCCGCTGATCGGCACCGCCTTGGTCTGGGGTCTCTTCATGGGTGTCTCCTCCAACGTGCGATACCAGACGGTGTTTGGCCTAGAGAGACTGGTGGAGCTCACCATTGCTCGGCGATTCCCTCCGGTGCGACAGGAGGGGCATGGAGGGAGGGCGTGGGAAGGTGGTGCTGCTGGAACACCACGAGAATACCAATCATGTCGACAGGCTCCCTTCACCATCAGCGACGCCTCACACACTCGCCCTGCTGGCCCCGCAGATTGCGTATGGCACCACGGTGGCCATCCGTTTTGCTAACAATGTCATTGGGGGCGAGCAGTTTGTGGACCTGGCGCGCTGGGCGGGCGTGCAGTGAGACCTCCTTGCAAGCTCAGAACCTGTCCCTTAACAGTGCCCATGGGCAGCCCGGATGGAGGCCCATGGCCTTCCCGTGTCATAAATTCCTCGGAGCATTCCGCGCTACAATTTGTCTTGCTCTTCCCCCCGAAGATTCTCACTGCAGACCACCCGCCGTGCTCCTAGCATTCGGCTCCTCTCTCTTCATCTTGTACAATTGCTGCCGCGCCCACGGGTCGCTGGTTCAAACGCGAGGGATCTGTCCGTAATTACAGATGAGGGCGCACACAGTGCTTCAAGATCAGTTTCGGAGCTAGAGGGGACATTGTAATCATCCATTTGTGAAATCTCGCCACATCGCGGCGTGAAGGAACTCTCCATGCTGTCGGTGGGGTCGTAACGGCCCAATATTTACAGGCCGCTAGGAGCTCCGAGATATCCCAGATCCAGCCATACACCTTTGGAACCACCATGTCGGGTGAATCTCGTGGCAACTGACCGTCGAGGATATGGCATCCGGCGGTTCCCAGGCCCAGTCCGCCTGGATGGCGTCGTACAAGGATGCCAGGGCCCATCACGCGCTCGACTCGGCCTTCCACAAGCTGGAGGGTCACATCCAGTCGCACACGGCCCTGCTCCAGAAGCACGCCCAGATCCGCGTGGCGAAGTGGCTGGCCAAACTCTCTGAAGAGGTGCGCAGGGCGCCTGCCTGTACATCCTATCTGCGTCGCACCAAGTTATTGCCTTGCGCATATATACAAACACCCCGCATAACACATCCTCTAGCACCCGCACACAGACGGCCAACGTGGTGTGGAAGCGCAATAGGAACGCCTGGGCGCGGCTGCTGCTCGCCCAACTCCGCTGCGGGCGGCTTGAGGACCCCTTCCACCTCCTGCCTCCGGAGACGGCCCTCCCCCCCGTGCCCAAGCATGCTGTGTTCACAGCCCCGGCATGCAGTGCCTCGACATCCCTGACTCCAGACCGAGTATCGCCGAGCCAGCAGCCCGGCAGGCCGGCGTTGCTCGATACTGCAGAGAGCTCGGTGCCCTCTGCGCCTGGGCCTGCACCGCAAGCTGCTCCGGTCCACACCATCGTCACGCTCTCCTCCGACGCAACAGCCAGTCCCAGCCAGGAGTTGCAAGCCTACCTGGACACCCAGGGCGTCCATGTCCCGGAGTCCGACCATTCACTGCGGAGCACATGCCCCGGCACACGCATGGGGACGCAGGATGCAGCAGCCCCACTAACAAGCCCTCCTGCACAGGGTCCCAGCCCAGATGCAGGCGGCGAGGAGCACGGGATGACCCTTGCCCTGGTCCTGGCCCGGGAGGAGGTTCGGTCCCTGGAGTGGCGGCTGGCGCAGACAGGCGCTGCGCTGGCCGCGTCCAGGCGCCAGGGCGCGCACGAGGCGCCGCCGGCGGCCGAGCGCCCGGTGGCCGGGCAGGGCGCCGGCCCTGCCGGTGCCCGCAGCCCCTATAGCGCCGGCCAGCAGCATTCGCGCGGGGGAGCAGGGGCTGCCGCTGCTCGGCCTACGGACCCGGCCGGTGAGGGCCTGCAGGCTTTTGCGGCACGCACGGCAGCCCTGCGCCGGGAGCTGGACGGGCGAGGCCGCGTGCCGTCGAGCCTGAGCTCCCGGACCCTGCACGCCTCCCCCGCCCAGCAGCACCCTTTTGGCGGCGGGAGGCTGGCGGGCGTGCAGTCGGATGCGGGGCCCCAGCCAAGTCGGTCGAGCAGGCCGAAGCTTTCATCGAGGGACTGCGCGGGGGGGGGCTCGCACCGGCAGGCGAGCCGGAGCCGCGGCGAGGCCCCTCTGCAGGGTCGCTCGCGCTCGCCACCTCCTGCCCCGGCCGTGAGGCACACGCTCAAGTCCCTGGCCGGCGCGGCGGCGGCGCGCAGCGGGCCGCAGGGCAGGGCCGCGCAGGGCGCCTGGAAACCCCACCCCCTTGCCTCCCCGGCGGCGATGCAGGCGCACGTCCTGTCGCCCGCCACGCCGACGGACGGCGGCGTGGCCCGGTCCCCCTCGCCTGCGAGTCGGCAGGAGGTTGAGTGGGACCCGCCCGAGGTCGCGAGCACGGCCAGCCTCCAGCGACGCCTGGCGCGCAGCATCAGCGACATGCTGCTGGTCGGGGTGGGGTCGCCGGAGGTCGGCGCCAAGCCCCTCAGACTCGGTCAGAGGCTGTATGGCTGATAGAAAGGGCCTGCCAATAGGCGCCGCATGATGCCTGGGTGAGATAGTGCGGGCCTCGTCCCTTCCTCGAACCCCTGCATCACCACGAAGTGCCCTTGACTGACACTGTACAAAGCAGAAACACCTGTACGTCACACATTCATTGGACATGCACACTGGCAGGCTGCTGCCGGGCGCCAAAAGTATGCAGTCAATTACAAAACCGAAAACTTGTCCCTATCCGCTGCCATGGGCGCAAAAGTGGTGCTCAGCGCAAGGGGTACATGCCCCCCTCACTTCTTGTCCCCGGGGTTGCCTTGCAGCTGCTTGACAAAGGAGTTGAAGTCCAGGCTCTTGCCTTCGTTCTGCTTCAGCACCTGATCCACACGCTCAGATGAGAACATCTTGCGCAGCTCCTCATTGCTCATGCCTGCCATGATTTGGTGTGATGGGTGTCGGGTGAGAGACTTGAAGGGTTGCAGGAATGCACAAGTGCTTCCCTCACTGACCCTTGTTCCAATCACAGCCCCATGGGCTTCAAGCGAGACCTGCCTGGCGGTGCAGCTGCTGGTGGAGGAGCTGGAATCTCCTGGGAGCCCTTTGACTGCAGGTGCTGCTCCCAGATTGTCCCATTCTTGTCGCCCTCGCCAGATCCCACTGCACAGTAGACAATCGGGTCGTATGAATGCTAAGCTCAAGCCATACTGAGTGATGCTGCACAGCCGAAGCATCGCTGCACACAGGAAATACTGTAGCAGTGACACTCCCCCCGCCCACCATATCCTATCACCAGGTTGACACACCGTTATCAAAGTAGGAGCCCTTCCGGTTATAGTTGCGCCTGCGATTCCGGGGACAGTGGGATCCCTAAATTCAACAATCTGGGGCGCCACGCCCTGCCAACCATGACGAGCATCTCGTCATCGTCTGGCGGCCAAGGTTAACCCAAATAGACCTTACCCAGGGTTGAACACGTCCTGCCATGTGTTCGTCCGAGGACTCGTAGCGGTCGTTGGGCTCACAGGAGTGCCTGCATCTGTCTTGGTGTCACCTGCTGGGGAGAAATCGCTGAGTGAATGGTCCCGATGGCGCAGGTTGGAGGGCCCCGTCGCCCTGGCGTACCTCGACCAGACAGCCTCTTCAGAGATTCCAGGATGGACATGATCGCTCTCCTACTACCCTTTAATGCGGCTTCGTTAAGCTTTTACTGGTGGAATTTGGGCTTTCTCTGCAGGTACTTTCCCGCACGATGATGTCGAAGCACCCCTTCACAATTCCGAGACCCAGCTCGCATCTCATCAGAGTCACGGAAAGCAAGAATGCGAAACACCCTCCGTGTGTTCTGCTCCAGCAAGACCCAAGTGCTCGGTCATCCACTTGGCTGCTATCCCCATACCTCAATTATAAAACCATGCACAAGCCCACCCACGTAGTGTGAGCAGAGTCAAGCCTTCCCCTTCTTCGCTCGTTTTGTTGGTGGCTGGGCAAGCGGTGCCCCTGCATCGGCATCCATGGGAGCTGGGACACGCTTGGTGGCTCCCGTCTCTGGCCCGAGGATGGAGGAGAACTTTGCGGCTGTCTTGGCGCGCAGCTCGTCCAGTCCTCCGTCCTCAGCAGCCACCTCTATGACTAACCGACGCCCGTAGAGATGCGTGCCCTGGACGGCCTCCACAGCGTTCCTTGTTTCCTGCTTGCTCGAAAACTCAAGGAAGGCAAAGCCTCTGCATGACGGGAAGGGGTAGGTGCTCTATAGTGCTCCCAGGGGTCGGGTGTACGTTCGAACAAGATCGACAGGCACAGGTTCATACCGAGCAACAAGCTTGTACATGGCACATTCAGCCTTACGATAGAGCCTCTCAGTTCACAACCGCCCCACCCCGACCTCTTCCCTACCTGTGGGTGCCATCAAATTTACGTGGCAGCCTGCAGCTCTTCACGTCCCCGAAGGAGGAGAAGAGCCCGAGCACGTCCTTGCGGGTGGCCTCAAATGCCACATTTCGGACGACGATCTTGGTCCCAAGGTTGGCGGGCACACCCCCCTTGCCCTCCTGGGCGTCTCGCTTCTGAGAAAGCTGCAGCATCAGCTTGTGGCCATCCAGAACCGAGCCCTGAATGCGGCAAAGTAGGGAAGAAGAGGGTGTAAGGATGCCATGGTTGTGGAGCGCCTCGTGCAAAATCCCAGCTTAGACACACGGACCTTGAGCACTTCCCCACAACACATCCAGACGATCCCTGTTTTTTCTATCTGCAAGAACGCACTCCTGCACGACCCTGTCCACCTACCTGAAGCGCTCCAATGAGTTCCCTGGCGGCCGCCTCCGTGGCACACTCCACAAACCCGTAGCCCGCAGAGAGGGGCTTGCCGTCCGGCCCCGCCTTCCTGGCCACACGAGCGCTCCGCAGGGCAGCGCCCTTGGCCTCCGCAGCAGCTGCAAAGTGGGCATGCAAGCCCTTGTCGGTCGTGGCCCAGGCCAGATTCTTCACGTAGATGCTGACCGAGTCGGCCTCCGTGTCTTCCGGAAGCACTGCCGCCGCCGCCGTCGCCTGCAGCCCAGCCTCGGGCTTTATGGCGGGGCTGGTGGTGAGCGTCGCAGCTGGCACCGCCTTGGCCTCGAAGACCTGTGCATCGAGCAGGAAGGGCAATAGTGGTGCACAGCACAAGGATTCCGCTGCACCGACCAGGCGGCTGGCGACTGCTTTGGGACACCGGTTGCTGTCATTCTGCCCTCCCTTTCCATCGCTTCGCCACAAATTGTGACGCAGCCCGGCCCCAGGCCGCATCGCCCCCCTCCATCACACACCTTGGCAGCCTTTGGCTTGGGGGTTCCGGAGAATATGGAGCGCGGGGCCCACTCCAGGTACAGCGGCACGTGGTGGTAGGGCTTGTACGCCAGGCGCCTGAAGGCGCGCTTGGCGTCCGAGGCGTCCTCGAACTCGATGACGGCCAGGGCCTTGGTGTCTGGCAGCACGAATCGGGCAACCTCACCTGGCAACAGAAGGACAGGGAGGGGACCAGGGACAGGGGAGGGTGGGGTGAGGGCATGAAGGAAAGCGTGGCAATGCCGGCAGGCGAAGTTGAAGTGAGCCTCAAACATACTGCGTGACCACTGTTTTGTTACTCGATCGAGATGAAGCCCTTGTGTCCCCATTGTACGAACATAGCTTGATATTCAGACCCTCGGTCACCCCCACCACCCGCTCACCGCTCTCCGCAAAGAGGGACTGCAGCTCATCTTCGCTCGTCGACCAGGGTAAATTCTTGATGAGGATAGCTCGATCGCTGCGGGCCACATCGGGCCCCTTATCCTGCTTTCCTGCTGCTGCGGCGGCTGCCTCCAGGGCATCCACGTCCACACCTGGCATGGAGTGGATGGTGTAGATGGGGTGAAGAATCAAGGCTGTGACCATCAGTTCCTTTGCGCCCGGTCAGGGGGCGGGCTGGAGGAAAGCTAGACACCCTGCTGGGTGATTCCCGTGCATGTGCAGGAGTACTCTGCCATCCGCTGCCCCCCTATCTCCCACACCTCATCGACCCCCAAACACATCATCAGTCCCCAAACACTCCCAAACGCCCCAGCCTCCCATGGTCACCCAACCCCCGCAGCACCTGCGTCGGACAGCGCGGCCTTGGTGGCGGCAAACACCTGGGCCTCCCCCAGGGCCATGCGCACCGCCACATCCGAGGACTCCCGGTCCAGCAGGGCCGACTTGGTGATGCCAAAGTGGGCGGCCACCGCCTCGGCCACCGTGTCGGGCCTGACAAACAGCGAGTTCCAGGCGGCGCGGTTGGTCCCCGCGCCGGCCTTCAGGCTTCGCGCCCGTTCCTCCTGTACAGGAGAGGGGAAGTGGTGATGCTGGGAGGAGCCGCTCGTGAGTGGGATGGGGAGGCAGGGGAGGGCGACATCGCGCGCTGCACTGGCTGAAGTCCCTCTGTGCTGCGGCTAGCCAAGCCGGGGGACTGCAACACCCGCCTGACCGGCCTCCCCAAGGAGGTCGCCCTACTACTGCCCAGCAACAAACCCAGGCTCCACCTCACCTTGAAGGACTTGGCATCGCTGGGACCCTCCTCCTCTGTCTTGGGGGCTGGCCTGCCGGGCAGGACGTGGAGGAGCCTGCCCTGGAAGATGGCGCCATCGGCGCCCGCCTGCGCTGCAACCGCTGCTGCGGGCGAGCTGAACAGCACGTGCGCAAAGCCCTTGCTCTGCCGTGTAGCCCTGGGCGGGTGGAGAGGGGTTTTGGCAGGCTGTCAGCAGTGAGGATGTTATCGACAGCCACAGAGGAGGGACAGGCACAGAGGAGGGACACAGATGTACTCCTGCACACATTTCCATGCACATGACGCCCAGATGAGCAGCGCGCAAGCAGACCAGCATTCCATCAGACACCGCCGGGGGTTGGAACGTCGAATGATCATGAAAGCGAGCGAGGGCCACCCCACGCACGCCAAGCTGCAAACCTGTCCTTGACGATGTGGACCTCCTCCACCTCGCCATAGGCAGTGAATAGCTCCCTCAATTCATCGTCCGTGGCGGCGTAGGGCAGGTTGCGCACGAAGAGGCGCCCTGTGTCCGACACCTCGGCGGTCTGGGAGGCATGCTGCATGCCAGGGTCGGGCTCAGGCGCGCCCTCGCTCGCCGCCTCGTCACCCTCCTCGTCAGAAGCAGCATCGCTGCCGCTCGTCCCCGCACCCGCCTCGGAACCCCCCGATGGCCCGGTAGCGGCTTCCAGCTCCTCCTCGTCGCTGTCAGCGGCGCCACAGAACTCCTCTCCCTCGTCCTCGTCATCACTGAACGCAGCCTTTCGCCGGGCCTTGAGGTAGTCAAGATGGGACACGGTCGCGTCCACAACCAGCCGGTCTTTCTCAGCTGCTGGAGGCGCAGTCTCGTCACCTTCCTCGTCAGATGAGTCACTCCTGCTTCCTGCTCTGGTGCTCGGCCCTGCAATCGAGATCCGGGGTGTAGCAAGTCAAGCACAGACCTGCAGTCTCGAGTTGTCCAGGCTTTCTCCATCTGGTAAGGAGAGGAAGACAGGCAGCTGCGACAACCACATCCCTCGCAACCTCACTCACGCTCCGGCCCACGTCTCACCTTCCAGGTCCTCATACTCCTCGTCGTCTGATCCTTGCACGGCCTGTTGGACAGCAGCTGCACTGGCAGACCCAGCCGCTGCCGCGACAGCGTCGTCGTTGGACCAGGTGGCTTTCTTGCTCCGGGGCGCCATCAGCTCCAGGAACTCAGCCAGCTTTGGGTCGGCTGTGCAGCATGGAGCCAGGAGGGGCCAGCTGGTTCTCTGGGAACACTGCTTGCCAGAGGGGTGCAAAGCAGCAATCCCTCTGTCACCCCAGATCACAACCCACCCTCTTCGGGAGCTTTCTTCCCGGCAGCCGCCTTCGTCTTGGCCGCCTTGATGGCCTCCCGTGCCTTCAGAGGCGCAGGCTCCACATCAGGCTTTGCGGCCTGAGCCTTGTCATGCGCGCTCGAGCCCGGCGTGTGCTTGCTCCAGGGGCGGTGCTCCGTCGCAGCCCGGCCGTACTGCTGAGCATACTGCACGCAGCATGTGCCGAAGAGGGAGCACAATCACATGCAAGCCCAAGTTGCAACGTGTGCATGCAGGTCGTGTGAGGGGGGTGGAATCCTTGTTTAAACCTGTGAGAGGGTGCACGAACAGCCCCCAGCTCATCCCAGCCTCCCACCTCGATCTCCAGCTGAAAGGTGTCCATGTAGCTTCTGCTAAAGTACTTGAAGGCTGCCACGGCATCGTCCAACAAGCGGTAGCCAATGAACCCAAAGCATCGAGACTTTCCATCCCTGTGAATGTGCTAAATGCTGTGTCAGGGAGGGCGGCTTCCCAGTGGGGAGCGGCCCATTATATATCGCAGCACAGACCCATACAGAGCATCGGCAGACTGGACCGGGCAGCTTCAAGTGTTGCGCATAGCAGCGTGCTCCAGAATTCTACCTTGTACGAACGATTTTGGCGTCTGTTACCTCGCCCTTGGCCGAAAAGTGCTCTTTCAGTCGAGCCTCGTCGACATACTTGGGCAGGTTCTTAATGCAGAGTCTGGAGCAGGGGGGGCGCTCTACAGCTTTCTGTGGATCGTCTTGGGTCTCCATACTGCTCAACAAGCGCTTAGATTTCCAAAGAGGGTACTGCGCACGCTACGAAGTTTACTGCCTCTCCAAAGTCAGACGGTGCCGTCTGCATGGAGCGTCGTCACGCATGCATACCGCGCTCGACTTTCGCTCGGGAGTTGACGAATTGGGGATAGATATACATACATGTGTCATGCATGCGTGTGGGCATCAAGTTCCTGCTTGTGCATCTGCGAGACGCGCGAATCAGGCGCCGGCGCGCAGACATGGACCACGGCCTTCTGACAGTAAATACTCGGGGTCTTGCCAGAAGCATGTCTCTGCTCCCATGTCAGCCGAAGAATAAACTGTATGTATCACACACCCTATTCCATTCTAGACAAATAGCAACGCGCTTCGTACTGACCAGAGAGAGACCCCGCTAAACTCTCCTGTTGCCTATCGGGTTGGGCGGCCCTTACTGGCCTGCAGAAGTAGACACAGAGCGACATGGGAAAAGCAAAGAAGACGCGGAAGTTTGCGGAGGTCAAGAGGATGATGAGCCTGAAGGACGTGAAACCGTGAGTGTCGGCGTGGGCGCTCCGCTTGTTGTATGCTATGCATGTAGCCTTGTGTCCAAGCTCTGGTCCTGCTTCCTCTTGCCACAGGCCTCCTATGAAGAAGACAAAGCCAGAGGATGAGGTTCGACACATGTACGATGTGTAGCTTTTATTATTCAGGATCAGGAGTGGGTGTTCCCGAGCGACACAGCTTGGGTCTGGAGAAATCTCTGTCATCCTTATCATACAACCCTCTCCCCCTCCAAACAACACCCATGCAGAGATAAAACGCCATCAGCTCTGTTCTTCAGGTACAATACGCAGCTCGGACCGCCCTACCAGGTCCTCATAGATACGAATTTCATCAATTTCTCAATTCGTAACAAGGTGAGATGGAATGCTTTGAGATCGGTCGTTGTCTCACATGGCTGTGTTCCATCGCAGTGATGACAAGCAGTGTGGGACTCGCTGGTGAGCAGTCCAGCGGCTCATTCTCGGACACCCCTTCAACCTGTCAGATTGACCTGGTCAAGGGCATGATGGACTGTTTGTATGCGGAGTGCACCCCATGCATTTGCGACTGCGTCATGGCGGAACTGGAGAAACTGGGGCAGAAGTACCGCGTGGCGCTCAAGATTGCCAAGGTCTGTTGGTGGAGCTGGTGTGAAACGCTTGCATGAGAAGTGGCATCTCCAGCTGAGTTCCGCAGTGAGTCACTCTGATGCTCGAGCTGGTGGCTTGCTTAGGCCCATGACACCTACAATGCGTGCAGGATCCACGATTTACCAGGCTGCCCTGCTCACACAAGGGAACGTATGCCGATGACTGCATCTGCGACCTGGTGAAGCAGCATAGATGCTACATTGTTGCTACCTGCGATAGAGACTTGCGCCGCCGGATCCGAAAGGTGTGTGTGTGGCTTGCTCTCTGGTGGAGGCGAATTGTCGGGATGCAGCTGGAGCTGCTGCATGGCGTGGGTGGCCGAGTGCGCTCTTGTTGAGAGCTGGACATCTCCTCCTGTACACGACCCTTTTGATCCAGCTCCTCTTGTCCCTCAGAGTCCCTCGAGGCTTGATTGCCTTTGCCCACCTCACTGCACACAGATTCCTGGAGTGCCAATCATGTACATACAGTCCCATCGCTACTCGATTGAGCGGCTGCCGGAGGCAACGATGGGTGGTGCGCCTCGCACCTAGGGCGCTTGGAGATGCAATTCTACTGCGATCTGGAGGTGGCGTGCGGTCAATGACCTGACAGCTCTTGCAAGTTGGATACACACCTTGCACATGCAATCGACCCCGCCTTCTCCAATGGGCTTCCATACTAAAAGATACATTACGGCGGGTGAAGAGACAATGGTCAAGACCTAGAGAGAGTGCAAGGGGTCCCACAGCACCAGCGCACGCATGCCAGCATCCCGCCACCTCAGGCTTCTTTGAGATCCAGCTTTCGCCCACTACCATGGGTTCGCAGTCGGAGCCAATATTGGCGGAGGCGTGAGTACCAGCCCCTGGCGCTCCCCGTGTACCCAGCCGGCATGCTCTGCGGCGCGATTCATAAGGTGCCTCGCACCCGGTGCAGGCACACCGACAAGGAGGAGATGATGAGCAGCACGGCGTAGATGGCTACCGCCACCCAAAGGCCATGCTCCGCAGCCGCCCTCTGTTCTGCAATGGGAACCGGGGGCTCACCGCCCTCACCCTTGGGCTCAAACCATTCGCCGACGTAGCTATAGGAACGCGGGGAGGGGGGAGGAAGGTTTAGGGGCGATGCTGTTTCCCTCATGAGGGAGGAGGTATCTCCGTGCGCAGCAAGGTGCAGCGGCGAAAGCGATCCGACCGCACTCACGGGTAGTCATTTCGGATCAAGATCGCGAGGAAGGACAGGAACGCGATGCCAAAAGCCGAGACTGCCAGCCCAAAGACGGAGCCTGTGCGGAGTGCAGGGCCGACGAGGGGGGTCGAGGGATCGGCACCAACACACACGCGCTCCTTACTGAAAGCAAGCATCCTCAACGTACCTATTGGGCCGCACATGGTGACGGCTCGCTCCTCTGTATGGGGCCTGGGTTCCAACTATTCCCCTGCGGGTTCCCCTCCAGAAGCGTGAGCTGACCGGAGGAACTCGGACCCTTGAGCTGGGACTCTTGGTTTGCTATCTTTTCTGATTTGAAGCACCCTTTGTGGATGCGCGCAAGGACGACGCTGACTTCACGCATGCCCTGCAGATCCAGACCGAGAGCGCGATCATTCGCCGAGCGCGCGCTGGTTCTCCTTGGCAAACCGTGCAGGGGAGGGGGGTGGCAAAGTGGGAATGTAAGTATGCAATCATGGCATGTAGATTGGGTAAGCATGGCCATCCCCATCCCACCTATGCTAGCATGTGCATTACCAGTATAAGTGAAGCAAGCCCAGGGCCTGCATACACCTCTGAGAGCACGACGTCTCAGATAAAGAGGGCTTTGTCATTTACCGCGCCTGCTGCCATTGCATTGACGCCAGAGCATGGTGAGTTCTCCTGAACATGCCCTGAGGTGCCTTCTGACGTCATACACACTAGCCTTGGGCCAATGCATGGGCCTTGATGTGACAGCTCTGTGACTTTTGGGTTAATCAGGAGGCTCTGATGTTCAGCAAAAGCCAAGGAGCAGTCGGTCGCAAACTTTTCGTCCCTTGAGGACTGCTTCAGCCCTGCATTTGAAATCTGGAGCTTCAGCGCCCTATGCGACGCGGCACGTGGCTATGCCGTGCGCGAGCGCCAAGTCCGTTTCCGTCCCTGCGACGTTAATGCTGCCCATCCGCGGGCGTACTCGGCAGTGCATTCCGCATTCAGCCCCACGAGGCCACCGCCTCTACACCTTCACAATCATTCAAAGACTGCCAGGACCAGCCGAGGCTCGACGGCCCTTCCTCTCAACATTATCCCCCGACGCTCCCAATCCCAATGACGACCTGCATGCATGTACCATTCAGCACCGCGAGCAGCCACCGCGGACTCAGTGCGGCGGTGCGCGGCTGCTCCCACGTCGGCGGGAAGGCTGTGCGGCAGGTGGCCGCACGGTCACCATTCCTGCAGGGTCCTAGTCCGGTGAGGGGCAGCTGCCTGACCCTCAGTCCCCCTGTCAGGCAGTTCCAGTCCGCGCATCGGCCCCGGACTCGCGCACCACGGTGAATTTGGTGCCTGGCTACTGGGCCGGGGCGGCGTGGGAGAGAGCGCCGTCCCTCTGAAGATGCCTCCGTCGCCAGCTGCATGTGCCTCCCCCATGACGCTGCTGGCACATCATCCAATACCTTCCACCCCTGCAATGCGCAGGGACGTGACGCGTGCCTGCGGCATCATCGGCGTGTCGACGCAAGAAAGCGACGCCAACCTGGAGATCTATGAGGGCTTGCTCATGCTGCAGCACCGTGGCCAGGACTCAGCCGGCATCGTGACCACGGACCGCACCCGCTTTCACGAGCACAAGGGCAACGGCCTGGTCAAGGACGTGTTTGACAGCCAGGACGTCCTGGGGAAGCTGACAGGTGGGTGTGATGGGATGGGGTGGAGCTGGGGGGACGGGGCGTTGTCCATCGCATACCTCATCGGCGGCAATGGATGCTTGATCTGGTCGAGTCTTGGTGCGCTCGCAAGAGTCAGGCAGATGAACCTCCCAGCAGCTCGATCGATCGATGCAGTCTCCCGCCAATCAAGATAAACACTCATGCACACACGCGCAGGCAGCACCGGGCTGGGGCATGTGCGGTACCCCACGGCCGGCTCGTCCTCGGTGCAGGAGGCGCAGCCCTTCTTCGTCAACTCCCCGCTGGGCATCTACCTGATCCACAACGGCAACCTGACCAACACGGACGCGCTGCGCACGCTGCTGAACAGCAGCACCTCCTTCTTCAACCGCTGCATGCGCACCAGCTCCGACTCGGAGGTCCTGCTCAACGTGCTGGCGGACGAGATCCACCGCGCCCACCAGCGCTGCCTGCTGGAGGACGCCTGCGACCCCAACCGCAAGAAGCTGGACCTGGTGGCCGAGGCCGTGGCGGCCACCATGAAGCTGATCCAGGGCGCCTACTCCTGCATCGCCCTCATCAACGGCGTCGGCCTGCTGGCCTTCCGGGACCCCCACGGCATCCGGTGCGTGGAGGGTATTGTTGATGGTGGTGGGAAGGAGAGGGGGGGAGGGAGGGGGGGAGGGGGATCGAAAGGGGGTTGAGAGGTCAGAGGAAGAGCGCGGGGCCCCTGTCCCACCCATGCGCCTGTCGTCCCGCGCATGCCATGTCGATCCGCAGGGTGTGCGCCTGGGAAGCATGGGCCCGGTCTCCACCCCCTGACCACCCCACCACACACGCCCCAACTCACCCCAAAGGCCGCTGGTGCTGGGGAGGCGCGTGGGGCGGCGCGGCGAGGAGTGGTGCGTGGCGTCCGAGGACTGCGCCTTTGGCCCCATCGGCTACGAGCGCGTGCGCGACGTCGCGCCCGGGGAGATGATCCTGATCGACGACGGCGGGAACCTGGTCTCCCGCCAGTGCACGCCGGTGAGGGGCCGGCAAGGCTGTTGGGTGGTGGAGCGGGGGAACGTCCCGTGGAGGGGTGGCTGATGCAGGCGGACCTTGCAGGACCCAGACTTGGCCTGGTGCTGGTGGGGCCACGCCGATGGGAAGCTTGCACCCATGCGCTCACCGGCAGCCGGTCGTGGATCATTGGCGGTGGGCGGGGAGTGCCGACCCGGAAGGATCATGTCGACCATCGTCCCCCGGAACCAGGGCCCCGCTCCGACTCACGATCCCCACCCAACCCCGCCCCCCCGCAGCTGGTGCCCGCGACGCCCTGCATCTTCGAGTACATCTACCTAGCGCGCCCCGACAGCGTGCTGAACGGCATCTCGGTCTACAACTTCCAGCTGGGCCTGGGCACGCGCCTTGCGGCCAGCATCCGCGCGCGCGGCTGGGACATTGACCTGGTGTGCCCCGTGCCCGACGGCTCCCGCCCCGCGGCCATCCAGATCAGCGCGGAGCTGGGGCTGCCCTACCGCGAGGGCCTGGTGAAGAACCGGTACGTGGGCCGCACCTTCATCATGCCCAGCCAGCGCCTGCGGGAGGTGTCGGTGCGGCGCAAGCTGAACGCCATGCCCGCGGTGTTCCAGGGCAAGTCGGTGCTGCTGGTGGACGACTCCATCGTGCGCGGGACCACGATGCGGCAGATCGTGGACATGGTGCGGCGCGCGGGCGCGGCGCGCGTGTACCTGGCCAGCGCCAGCCCGCCGGTGCGCTACCCCAACGTGTACGGGGTGGACATGCCCAACCGCGGCGAGTTCGTGGCGCACACGCTGAGCGAGGAGCAGGTGTGCGGCGTGCTGGCCGCAGACGGGCTGGTGTACCAGAGCGTGGAGGACCTGGTGGGGGTGGGGCGCGAGCTCAACCCCGCCATCCAGGCCTTCGACGACTCGTGCTTCACGGGGCGCTACGTCACGGGGGACATCAACGAGACCTACATGCGCAACCTGGAGGAGGCGGGGCGGGGGAAGGACCGCGGCTTCAAGCGGGCGGGGAGGGCGGGGGCGGGGGACGCGCCCGCCACCATCATGGCGTGAGCGCGATGCCCCTGGCATGGCACCCCCATCCATGCTTTGCTGTACGCTTGACACACTCTGGGAGCAGGGAACGACCACTGACACGGCAGATGGTGCGGGGTGGGCGCAGTGTGGGTGGGGCCACCCGACCACCATGGCAGCAGCCGGTGTCGCTGTGACGGCGGGGGACGACGGCGAACCCCCCATGCAATCGAACGAACCTGCACCTCCCATGACCGACTTCCTGCACGGCGAGGGTCGTGGACCTCCTTCACGCGCGAGAATTGCCGTACCAACCCAAGTTCCTCGACGTCAAAAGGAGCCCACATCGGACTTGCGAGTGCTGCTCGTGGCAGGGATCGCGACTTTCATTGTTCGCCAACCCCATGGCTTTGGCTCTTCTCTCACTCCCGAGGCACAGCTATCTTCAGCCACGCCTCTCACAAATGCCCTGGCACCGCTCTTTGTCCTCAAGCTCACCCCGGACTCCGGCGACCGCATTCACAACGGAGCCACTGGTGCACGACATAAGAAAGGGGCTCAAATTCGCCATCAAGACCACGATAGATGAATGGCCACCATCTTGCGAGATAGTTGATGCCTGTGTGGCGGAGCATACCGTCGGAAAGCGGGAGATTCGGGGTGTTTGCTGAACACATCCATGCCAGGCCCACACTGCATTCCCGCAGGACACATCCCATCCCCCCTCCTTACGAATGTCACCAACACACTGCGCAGGGAGGCGTTCTTCAACCAGGTGCCTGCCCGCGTGTGTTTTTGGTGTGCAAGTGAAAGGTGTGAAGGCGAGATGGGGGTTTCGGTGAGGATGCATTACGGGCCCGGTGTGGGTGTGCCCAGCAGGTGCTGCAGATTTCCGCTTCACGGCGGTATGCTCTGCCGTACAGGCATCGATGAAGATGCATGATGGATGTCACATCAGCTCCCGTGGTCGTGATGGCGACTTCGAGCCACTATGTTGAGGAATACAGATGATGGCCATCTTTGTCCTCATTGGCATGGCGCATGTGCGGAATGGGAAAGGGTTGAAAGCGGTGGTCACCCCTTGGTCCCGCAGCAGCTACTTGAAGATGCACAGATGTCTGCAGCCCGTCTTGCAAACACCTCCCGTACCTCATTCGTAGACTGCTGTCCCTGCTCCGCGGCAGAATGTACGGTTACGGTTGGTACGTTGGATCCCCGGGCGCACACAAGGTATACTGTCGCGGCCGGACTTAACGGCAGACGGGGTGGGAAGAGTTGGTGACGGTGGGTAAGCAAGCACTAAATGGCGCAAGCCCTGCTTCCAGAAGCGCACGTCCGCAATGTACGGCCATTCTACCCTTACAATTATTTGGTGACTGTCATGTCCAGGCGTGTGCCCTAGGACTCGCGCGAGCCATCTGGCTTCAAGCAGGTTTCTGTTGGTGCCGACTTAAGAGCTTGAATTAGATCGGCCCATCGAGGATCCATGCGCGGGAGGTTTATAACTCGGTGTACATTATGATTACATGATATTGGATACGTGAGAGATGTGGGGTTCCATGGTATCCATGCATCCTGTGCCACCCGCATAGTACCCGGGAGTTGATCTGGGAGGAAAGCTGGACTTGCGTCATCAATCGACCCGGGAACGAGTATCGGGGGGCATAAGTCCACCGGTCTCTCCGCCCAACCTCGCAGTTTGGTCCAGCATTTCCGTCGGCTGGGCCGCGGAACCTGGTGCCTCGTGCCCATGACAAGCTCTAGGAAAAGGGGGAAGACACCTCCGAGGACGGAGAGGGACTCCGCGACGCTCAGGACAGATGTCGAACCACGACGCGGTTTTGTTCCGCTTCGCGCTACAGCCTCGCGCGCTGCTACTTCGTAAGCTGGAGCTTCTCGCATGCAAGGTGAGGAGCGGGAAAGCGTTGGGAGAGTGACGGTGACGGGGTGTCAGCTCCCGGAAGACTCTAGATCCCCCTCTGGGTGTTGCCAAGCTGTCCCGTGAGCCGGTTCCCTCCCCTTCCCTCCGCTGCAGAGTATTCAATCAACATTTACTTTCGCCCACACCGTGTGCCGTTCCGCGTCGTGACGCAGCAGGCGGCCCTTTGGGCGAGCACAAGGTCGACCTCTCGAGGTGTCTTCAGGCCCGTAGCCGGGAGAGGGATGCATCATGACCAGGACCACAGGACCCCAGAGCGCAAGGAGACGGTGCAGCGACAATCAGTGCCAAGCAGGACACCCGGGTTGACCCTTGGGAGGAGGCGGTGGACACGCGGTTGGGCCACAGACGATATTGGGTTACCCCTGTCACCAGAGTCAAGTTTCAGTGGACCAGTACTGCTTGAGGAGCCTGCGCCGCGCCAGCTTGCCGCCCCCCCCCCCCCGCCGCAACCTACGCCATGGCCTGACCCAACGGAGCACCCCGCGCCGCCCCTGAGCCTGCTGAGCTTCGCATCGCTTCCCACTCAACCACAACCGTCCTCGCAGTCGTCAGTGCCAGACTTCGTTCGTCGAGATCAGGGGACCAAGAGCAGACCTCACTCAGGAGTGCTAGACCACTTTCCTGTAAGCCGCTGTTTGGGAAGGAGCCTGCCCGCCCCTGCCTGCACCTTGGGAGCGCGTGCCTGCTTCGCACTGCGAATGGCCTGTGCTGAGCTGGTTTGCCCAAGCTGACGCTGGACGAAGTCTGGAGGAGCGGTGGAGGAGCGCTGGAGGAGCCAGTTTCTTCTTGCGCAAGCCTACGGATGAGCTCTGTGCCAAAGGTGTTGTCCTGGACGGTCGGTTGCCCTGCAGCACCGCGCCCGCACCCCTCCTCCCCCAGCCACCCTCGACACAGTACCACCGGTCTCACGGCGCAACTTTCGAGTCACTTGTCACACTGGACAGCAGCATCGGTCAGTCGGTGGCGGTGTGCCTGCTAGCGTCTCCCCGCGCTACCCCCCTTCTTGGCCACCCTCCACCTGCAGTCAGCTGGCTTCCGCCGTTCCTTCACCAAGGCTCCAGCCACCGCCTCAGCCAGATATGTGTTGCACTTTTGCATCGTGGGCCCCATGCTTGGCCACACTGCTTGCACGTCTGGGCCCCCGTTCGCCCCACACTCCCCACAGTTTGCATCTGCTCCGTGCGAGATCCCACTGCCACACTTGGCGTCCTGCGCTTCTTTACAGTACGGTCTGGAGTCGGTGACCTGCTCTCGGGATGTGGTGTTGCCTGCTGCACGCCCCCCTCGCACGCCCCCCTCCCCATCGACCCAGTCTTGTGCAGTCCAGCATTGCTAGACGGCGTCTTCTATACGAGTGTGATTTGCCTCGGTAACTCTTTGTTGCTGCCTGCATGGGGTGAATCACGTATCTTCTGCCGCCACTGCTGTGCGCCTGGCTCCGTCGCCCCCCTTTTCCCTCCCAGAAGAAACGGCCTTGATGCCCGGAGGAGTGTGCTTGCACTGAGACGATGAGGGTGTCCCACTTGTGTAGGGATGTGTGGCAGGCTGCTCCCAGCCTCCACCCAAACTGGTGCTTCTTAGCGCCCCATTTCGACGGAAGATAACTTTTGACCATTGCAGTGCAATTGACGTTTCGTCAGGTGCTGATATGCCCACACTGCTTTAAAATTACATCTGGCCATGGCGCAACTGGTGGTCAAGATCTTCGGCAGTGAGCTGGCCTGGAAGCCGCCGCAGTCCGTTGAAGATGGAATATGCGGAGGGGGCGCCGGCCGCGCGGCGCCCCATGTTGAGGCCCATGAGGGCGAAGAGCGTGGCCAGGATGTAGATGGGCCCCAAGTCCAGGGCGGCGGCGACGTGAGCGCCCAGGATCCAGGCCACGAGGCATGCCCAGAACTTTCCGCCCGGGTAGAGCGCGAGGAGGAGGGGCCAGGTGGGGTAGCGCCGCGCGCGGAGCCAGCGCACCACGGCCCGCTGCCACGCCGGCGCCGAGTCGCCGAGGCGCAGCCTGCGGGGTTGGCCAGGGACTGGGGGCGGGGTTGGGCGGCGCTGCAGGTGTTTTCAGAGTGGCGAGCACACCGAGGGCACCCCCCGGAACGCACGTGACATCGTCCTCCTCATCCTCCGCGCTGGCGCCTGCATTCAGGGCCTGGATCGCGGCAGACGGTGGGCGGGGCACCACCAATGCCATGACTGTGTCTGCAGGGGGAAGCAGGTTTGGGATGAGGATGTTACCTGTCCCTGGATGCCAGGACAGCAAAGGGCTGGGAGGCACGATCAGAACCAACCTTCCAGGCCGCACCGCCAGAGGCCAGGGCTGCGATGTGCTTCTCATTCTGCAGTGATTGCCCCTTCGAGACCAGCTTCAGGCGGTCCAGGGGCAGGTCCAGCCGCCTCGACACAGTTGCGTACAGAACATCTTTCTGTTGAAGCAGGAGTGATGGGAATAGGGTGTCCCACTTGCGCATGTCCATTACAGTACACACCACCACTGCCTGGCTTGACCATTGAATGCACCACACGCATGTAGACTTCCCACATGGCATCTGGAGAAGCCCTGGAGCAACCCCAAACGGTGTGCTCAAAGTGTTGAGCACCAACATCCCAACTCCAACACAATATACTCCCACCGTGAGCTGGTCGGGTAGCTCCAGAGGCTGTGACTGCCCTCCTATAACGTACACATTTAGGTGCATGGCAGCATGCCTCTTCCCGAGCGAGGAACACTCGAACACCTTTGCTTTCGTGAACCCAGCCGAGCCACTTTCGTCCAAAGCTTGTCGCACTATCTGAAGCTCGACATCACGAGCTACCGATACAACGTAAATTCGCAGTAGGGCGATGCTCTGCTTCGATATCCCGGGATTTTTGAGTCGAGCAGCAGTGGCGAGACTAATGCGCCTGGGAATCTCTTCTGCGCGCTCTGTCTGAGGGGTGGCGATGGGAGATACAATGGGATGGGGGGGCAAATCACAACAGTTCAGCTCAGTGGGACAGCAGTAAGGCCACCTCTATGAGAAGCAAGGCAGTCCTGGTGGACATCAGGGAGTCAGAACACAGCACATCTTCTCATGACAGTCTCAATGAGCGACGCAGTGCATCGCCGTTTATTGCTGCACTGCGCCGCCTGTCTTCTGGGCTGGTGTCTCTGCCCGATTTGAATGATCTCTGGGATGTTGGGACACTGGATGGTGGCCTGTGTAAAGGGGTGATTGAGATGAACGAATAGAAAATAACACGCTCTACAGATGCCACAAAACCTGCCAGGAGCCAGGTGTATGCGTATGCATGCCTGGGAAAAGCACTGTGCTCAAGTTCCCCCCGCCACAAACTCACATGCTCTGGAGGTAGGCTTCGTGCTGTGCAACCTCCCGCTCATAGTCCTGGAGCGGGAAGTTTGTCTTGGCACTCCGACCCTGACAAGTGTGGACGGGGTGGGTTTCAGGTGGAGACCAAGAATCTGCTCAGGCTGTGCCTGGCTGATGCCAGAACATAATGTTCCTGAAACATGGGCCTTCCTGAACATTCTCCTGTCACGCACAGGATGCCTAGCTCCAGGCTGGGGCCTGCTCCTCTCATCCTTGTCCCAACTGCGAACCCAGAAGTGCTCCCCACAGCGACACCAGGCACCCCCACCTTTTCAAGGATGAGCGCGCGATCGTATTGCCGAGCGGCCTCGTCCTCCGACTCAAAAATTCCAAAGGACACCTGGACGATGGTATGAGTGTGCAGCGTGGAACACTGCATCGCTTGGCCTGGACGCATTTCCAAGCCTTGCCGGGTGCGCACTCCTTTCGCTGCACTGACTCCGAGGGCACCTGCCAGAAACCCTGGGAGGATTACAACTTCCCACTGGCTCTCCCCCAACCCCATGCTCACGTTCTTTCGCCCCCCAAAGGATCCGATGCGAGCCTCCCAGCGCCCGTTGTGCCCCGAGACGCCCCTGTACTTGGACTTGCCGCGGCTGAAGGCGCTGCTGCGCCTCCGCACGTAGGCCACCACCTCGTCCTGCGAGCGTGAGAGAAATCGTGGTCAATGCATTTGCGCTCAGCTCGTCAGTGGAACCCCACCTGGGTTTCAACTTGGAGGTCCTTGGTCCAGGGTCACACATCCACACTGGCATCCAACGCCGCCCGTGACTCACCCTGGTGAGCCCCGCGATCTCCGCCAGCTGCTCGGTGTACTCCTCTGGCGGGTGATTAGTCATTGCCCCCAGCCCCTTGCACGCCAGGGCCGCCAGGTCGTATGCCGCGGCAGCCTCCTCCTGGCCGTTAAAGCCCCCCAGGTACAGCTGCCGCCCGTTCAGCCAGAGGGAGGCCTCCCAGCGCTGGGTCAGCCTGTGCCGGCTCACGCCGCGGTAGGCGGAGGTCCGCCCGCCGGGCGGCGCCCCCGCCTGCTCCCCCTGGCCTGGCGCGGCGGCCGGCTGCGTGGCCAGGCGGGAGCGCGCGCCGGTCCCCGGCGCAGGGTCCCCCTGGGCCTGCGCCCTGGACACCGTGCTGCGCGGGCTGGGGCTGTCGTCCGTGAAGTAGCCGGACGCGCTGCTGGGCCAGCGCTTGGGGGAGGGCTCCGACTCTGATGATTCGCCCCCCCGCCCGCGCTTTGGGCTGCCCAGCGCCGCGCCGTCCTCCAGGCGGCCGCCCGGGAAGGGGCGCTGCAGGGGGGGCAGGCGCGGCGGCGGCGGCACCAGATGCAGGCTCAGGACGGGCACCGGGGGTGGCGGAGCGGGGAGGGTGCGGGGGCGCGGCGAGCGCACGGGGTCAAACACATGGACGCGGAGGTCTTCCTGCACGTGGTGGAAGAGTGCGAGGTGAGTCAGGGTCCAGGTGGGTCCAGAGGGGATCAGTTGATGTGGTGGCGAGGGCCGAGGACAGGGTCTTGTGAACAGCAGGGAACTCGAGTGGCAGTGCAAGAGCAACAGCAAGGCACGCATCTGGAGATATCAGGCCAGGCATGAGAGGGGGTGGGCATCTCATACGCAGCAGTGTTGGGCTCCCTCGCAAGCAGATGATGCCCTGACCAGCTGTGCCACGACCCCTGCGGCGCCCTCGGATCCAGACCTCAGACGGGAGGTAGGAGAGGTTGCCGAAATCTATGAGCTCGCCCCCGGACTCCAGCGCAGCATCTGCGTCGCAGAGTTGACGTATGGAGAACATCATGAACGTGCTGGTCACACTGTCAAGCCGGAGCGGCAGGCTGCATTGCTGTGCACACAACGCAAGAGGAGACACGCAAATCAGAATCCAGGGGTTCTATTGTAACATATACTCAGGATGAGAAGAAAGGATCCACCCTGCAGACTCCCTACCATCGCGCACCAAAGAACAAGGCATCTTGCGGTGCCAGTGACGGCAGGGCCAGGCTCGAAAAGGAGATTGGGTGCATGGCTGCACCTGCAAAAGCGGTGGGTAGGGCTGCTCAGGGTGATGACGAGTCAGTATGTCTTGAAAGGCAGGCAATCTTCTCTTACTGCCCGCCAGTGACTCCCAACCACCTCGTACCACCCCATGCTGGATCACTCTGGGCAACCACTGGACTTGTGATCCGTAAAGTGGGAGGAAGCTGCTGGTGGCCTGCCGCCTGGCTGTCTCTATCCGTCGCAAGGCATAGCCTTGAGAGGTCGAGACTCCCCGTGGGTACCAGCTCGGTGGGACAAGTCACCGATTTTCGATCCGCAACAAGGCCAGGACTAAGCAGAGGGTCTTTGAACTGTGCAAGCTGGGAGGATAGGGATGAAAGATCTCTCAACAAAAGGAGGGATCGCCAGGGCTCGCCTTTCTTGGACATTCCAGCAATCGCACCACCCTCACCATCGCCCCGTCATGGGGTGAGAGAGCCTCAAAAGCTGCAGCAAACTCGGCATCTGCATGGCAAGAGGCTGGGTTGATACTCATCAGACATGAAGTCTAGCCCATGGCCTCAACCCCGAAACCCCATCGGCAGGCACCATACCGAAGAGGGTAGACGGATCATCCCACTGTTCGACGTTGTACATTCGTCAGTCCCGTTCCAAGGCTGTACAGATCTGCCTCCTCCTCTCCGCGACCCCCGAAGTTGTCACATGCCTCGCTGGCACATGTTGGCTTGACCTCCTTGCGAACGATGGCGGTCGCCAGAAGCATCTAGCCCACTACAATGTTACACCCTCGATGTGAGGGCCATGCATTGACTGGGCCGGTGTGGGCTGCCCGCCAGTGGGATTGGCTGCTCGACTACCTGGAGAGCTTGCGCACCCACGTGACAGGCGTGGCCCGTCTGCGGTGTGTTTGGGACGATCGAATTGAAGCTCGCAGGCTTTCGCGACGCAGAGGTGCGTTTGGTGGGCATCTTAAACACCACAGCGATCATTCATTGTACCCCGCTCCCTTTGTCGAGGCGAAGGCCGGTGGCTGTGACCGTCCCTGTGTCCCTCCCTAGTCTGAGGCTCACCACTTCTGCCTGGTCCGGAAGGGCCGGATCATGCCAAAGCTCAGCCAGTATACTTCCCTCAAGAAGCCAACAGCACCAGGAGTACCATCCAAGGTGTGCGGCATGGGTGTCGCAAGGCCGTGTGTTGGGACCATGCTTGACTGGTCCACCCTCCGAAACACGCGCATACGCCCGCCCGACCCCATCTTGTGTGCAGAAGTCCCAGGATGTACCTGGATTAGAGGAGACCAAAGCTTGGGGTCCGGAAGTGAGCAAGCTTGTCTCAGACTACAGCAAAAGGTGGGGTGAGGCGCATGATGGGCGTGGCGAAGGGTTCTGCATCGAGACGTGAGTCTCCGTCTACCATCCCAACCCTTGTTGCAGCATGATTCCGCCAAATCCCAACCACTTCATCCCTCAGGACCGCGCAGCACGGCGCGCGGTTGTTCCGGTGGCCAGACGGCAGTCTGAGGGACACGCCGCCCCCGCCCAACCCTTATGCTGTGGTGAGAGCGTCTGTTCAGGCACAGGGTGGATGGGGGGCTGGGCGTGAGTCCTTCAGCCCAGGTGATGCGCGGCTCCCAATGCGAGGCGTCAGCACGCATGCAGCTCCCTGTTCGCTGTGCTCAGGCAGTGCTGCCTATCACTCCATCAGGCCAGTCGCAGGCGATGGGTACCACTGGTACTGCACTGTCGGACCTCTGGCTCCCACGCCGGCATCTCCAAGACGGGGCAGTCCCTGCGCTACGGCGTGGGCGTGCCCCACAGCGCGCACGGCACATGCCTGGCCGCCATCGGCCTGCGGCCGGAGACAGACGAGCACGGGTGAGCGGGTGGGCAGCCGTGTGCTGAGATCGGAAGGAGAACTTACCGCTTGTTGGTTGCATGATCAAGCCAGTAGGCCAATGTGGGACGGTGTTGAGCGAGCACGCCTCACCGCTGCCTCAATGCGCTTCCAATACTCACGTCGCAGCCATTGGCACGGGTACGACCCGACCAGGGAGGCGCCCCTGAAGGATCCCACCCATCCCTTCAATACGGTCTACAAGCACGCAGCTTCCCAAGTGCTGAATGGGAGGAGAGGACGCCTCCTGCCAGTTTCGTAGACTCAGAACACGTGCTGCGTATGCTACATTGTCGCCGGGCTCTGGAAACCCTGCTGGATGCCACCATGCGCTTGCCACTGCCTTGCCCACTTGCTGGTGTGCCCCATCTGACATCCCTTGCAAAGCCGTTCCCCTCGACATCACATCTCCTCATCTGTACACTTCAAGAAGGCAGCACACACTTTGTCAGCATCACCAGTTCTCAAAAGGTGCTCCTGAAGCGGACTTCACCCTGGCAGAGACCTTGTCCAGCTCTGCCACTGCCCCGTCACTCAGCCTCCAGCCTGTCGCTCCAACGATGGCTTGCACCTGATGCCAGGGGGCCCAGCGAGGCGAGGCGAGCAGGGTCAGGCAAGCATGCCCGGTCTATCGCAGGCCAGGACTACATCGCAAGAGGCACCGCAGGATGACTGAGAACCATGCACAACAGGGCACCACGATGCACTGGAAACGGTGTAATTTCCAAGCAACGTCTCTCCCCCTCGCACACTCCCAACACCCCCTCCCACACAGAACTACACAGCCCTGCCTCACCTGGGCTGCGTTCTTGGCCCCAGGAATGGGCAGCACCCCCTTGCACAGTAACCAGTTGATGGCAATCTGGGCCGGCGTGTGATCGCCCTCCTCTGCCCCCACGGCGCGCATGAGGTCGAGCAGGCGGACCAGCTCCTCGTACTGTGCGGCGCTGAAGTTGCGCCCTCGCACCCCGCTGGGTTTGTTCTGTGGGATGGATGGGTAGATTGGGGCTGGGGATCTTCTCAAGGAGGCCGAAAGAGAAGGAGGCGAGATGAGGTGGTGAATTGCAAGGCGAAGGTGCACGCCCTCCCTGAAATCTGTGGCCGCCTCACTACACCGTGCTCATCAGCTCTCGGACAGCCTACCTCTGCATTGTACTTGCCAGTCTGCCAACATACAAAGGGAAGGTGGGGGTGCGGGACGGTTGAGTGGATTGAAGATAAGGTCGACCGTGCATCTGGTTCCCGAACTCGCTTTAAAGCAGGAAGCTTTGCACACGCCCCGAGATCTCGACCTCGAGCAACCTGCACACTGGCTTCTGCTCATCTGCGCTCGCACCATAAACCTCAACTCTCTGTCTAGGAAAGATGGCCCTCCCCCCATACAGGCCTCGTGATCCCACGGCCTCACCAAGAAGCCTTGGCAAAGGGGGCTGTAGGCCACCAGGGTGCTTCCCGCCTCGCGGCAGGCCTCCAGCACTCCATTTGTTTCGGGGGCACGGTACAGCAGGCTGTACTGCACCTGGTTGCAGGCCAGCGAAGTCCCCCGCGCCTGCGTTGTCCGTGGTCACGAGTCAGTCTGGTGACCCTCGTGCAAGCAAGGCACATTGGAACGGCCACGACAGTCCACAGAGCACTCCAGCCTCCCAGAGCACGATATCTGAGGACACCAACTCCAGCACACGGACTTGGTTGGCAATGGTGTTGCTCCCGGACACCCGCCTCCTTGCGCCATTGCACCACTTTCTCGCCATTCCACACACCGACCTGCAACTGCTGTGCAGCCCGCCTGACCCTGTCAGCGTTGAAGTTGGACACCCCCACCGCCTGAGCCAGCCCCTGGTCCACCACATCTGCCAGGCCCTGGATGTAGGCGTCGTTGGCAAAGGCATTGAAGAAGAAGCCGGGCCAGTGCTGCAAGTACAACGTGACACGCTGGGAGCCCAGGCGCTCCAAGCTGCCCTGGAAAGCGGGAATGGGTGGAAAGCGGGGCGCGTCGGGTACCACAGCCATGGCACAAGATCAGTGCAGAGCCTGCTGACACCATGCAGGGTCCATGCACAGTGGAATCAGGCTGGAGGACCGTGGGCTCCCTGGCCCACCCCACCTTGCAGGCCTTGACCAAGCTGCCGGCGCTCTGCCTCCAAGGTAGCGGCCCAAACTTAGTTGCAACGTCGGGCTCGAGTCCGGTGCTCGCAGAAAATTCACGGATGAAGCGCTCGGAGTTCCCAAACCCGTACACCTGCCAAGAATGATGGGTGTTGCTGTAGTGGATGGAGGGCCCAGTCATGGAGAATGTGGACCCTCACCAAGAAACTGCAGGATGCATGCCTGGCAGACTAGCGACCCGGGCGGTGCATCCTCCCATCCCACCTCGGCGGTATCCAGGAAAGTGGCTCCGGCCTCCATGGCAGCCTTGAAAGCCTGCGCGTTGGGAGAGCGATGTTGCAGCTCCATAAGAGGACAAGCTAAGGAATACATGGTCTGCAGATCTGCAGGGTTGGCCGGATGACCCTCTGGTTGAGGGACCCCATGCAAAATAGGAGCCAGCCGCCTACCTCTAGATTATCACTCTGACCATAGGACTTGTTGTAGCCCCAGTACCCGGAACTGTCCCCCCAGGACCATGCTCCAATGCCAATCTCCGACACCCTGGCATCTGGGGTCGGTGTCCATAGGGGATCTGGGACTCTGCCGGGAGTTTATGCTTCCCAGGCATGTGCGTTGCCAGAAGGAATGCATGTCTATCATGTGCAGGCCTAGACGATACCTGAGCGGCCCAGCTGTACTTTGTCTATGCCCTGAGTCTTGGCTGGAGAGGCCCGAGGGGCCGGAGGCCCGCGACGAGTCTGTCGTCCCCGGGCAGGCAACCCCGTCCATGCTGGGGACTTGTTCGTGCTCAGTGCGCCATTTTGTAAGAGCGTGGCCTGCATGGTCAACCCCATTACACAACACAATACAATATTGCACTTTGTATATGTGCAGCCCATGATCGCCTCTTCGCACCCCCTGCATGGAGTGCGAGGTGGAGCTCTGGGGAAGCGATCTGCGCGCCCCGGAATCAGTGGCCCCATCAACGCCACAGGACAACCGATCACAACCCCCTCTAGAATTAAGTGGAGACATGTGAGGTTTACAGTGTTTTGAAACATGTTCTGTGCAAGAAGTAGGATCGAAGTGGCTGGGCGGTGCACGCAAGGCGATGAGGAGGCCCGGCTGCGCTGCAGTCTCCGCCAAGCTCCCACTCCTGCTTGCCAGCCCTTCATTGCTTGTTCGGGGTGAGGGGCGCGACCGGCGCCGTCCCAAAAGCCGCACCGTCCCTCCAGACATGCACGCGGGCCCCCACCGAGCCATCGCCAGCTGGCGCCACCTCCACGCTGGCCTTCGCGCGGCCCTTGGTGAGGACGTCGCCCTCTGGCACGTAGGTCAGCAGCTGAGGGTTCCGCACCAGGAAGTTCTGCAGCGCGGCATCCGAGAGGCCCTGGGCGGTCAGGTAGTCCACTACCGCTCGCAGCTGGGGCTCTGGGACGCGGAGGATGGGCTTGCAGGAGGAAGCCATATTCTCCACATCTCGATTCCTCAGGCCCAAGCCCGTCAGGAACTTGATCTGGGAGGGGGGGGGGGGGCGGATGGGTTGCAAGGGGGTGTGAACGTCGAAGATGCGACCTGCTGAGTCTTGCACCCACATGGTAGGGCTTGGCCCAGAGGAGAGACAGGGGGAGGAGTGCAGCTATTCCAGCAGCACCCGGGACGTGCATGCCTGGATTAGAGACACGACCATACTGCCGCAGGCATCCCCCGACACCCAGCTCACAGCGGCATCGGCCTTGGCAACATCATCGCCTTCAGGCATGCGGCAAATGTCCCGCGTGATGCCGTCCACCCATTGTGCGTCCCAGCCTGTGGGCGCCAGGAAATCGAAGAGTGGCTCGGGGCTGGCTGCCAAGAGACCGCATGCACGAGGTGTGTTGGGCAAGATCTGCCGCGCAGGCTCCTGGACAGCCCCCAGAATGGATCCCATCTACAGGCCTCCACAAACCACAGAACCCCCTCTTCCCCACTGACCAAGCTTGAGGAGGAAGGCGCGCATGGTGTTGGCCCGGATGATCTCAGTGGGCGCGGCCCTGTGTGTTGCTTCTGCTGGAGCCGCCGCCACGGTCACGAGACGCAGCGTCTGGGACGGCCTGCGCACGATACAAGGGGGGCAGTGGGTCATCGGTCGGTCCTCCTCGCTGCGCACCAACAGGAGTGCCACGGCAGGAATCCTGTCATCCAATGTACCTTTGCAGATAGACCCGCGACACTTGGACGCGGGAGGGCGATGGTGCTTGGAAGGCTCTCATTCCCATGCCGTTTGGCAATGGGCACCGTATCGCCAGCGACATCCCGCAACGCTGAACTGGACTAGGAGCGACGAAGACAACCCCTGCCACCTGCAATCTAAACCAGCGCTGTTAACTGTGCGTGCGGATTGACCTGACGATTCTGGGCGATCGTTTTGCCCGTGCATATGCAAGTCGAAGCCTCACCCTCCTCATCCACTCTGCCCCGCCTGCTGACATGGCATCTGTCTCCCAGATCTCTTGCACGGTCCTTGGCACGGCTGTGCCAACTGTAGGCGGTTTAAAACTGAGATTCGTACCCTCCATCCTATATAGGCAAAGGCTTGTTGCCGCTTGTTCCCTGCGTGCCGGCAGGAGGCAGCACACCCCCACGAAAACGCCAGCTGCAGTGTCAGCCCCATTGTGCGATGCGAGAAGTCTCCGTCGCCCATTTGTTCAAAGGATACGATGTAGAGGTATGGTGTGTTACCTTGAGGGCATTGCATGCCCCCTCTCTGGGATGCTCCACCGCGATTCAACTCATGGGGAGCCCTGCCACTCTCGCCCTGTGACCTACCATCACCCACACAGACTGTCTTCGGCCTGGTGTACGTGAACCCCGTCTGCTTGACCGAGTTCCACACGGCAGTTAACAGGGACCCTGCAGCCATCATCCCAGCCTGGGACGGGAGCACTGGGACCAGGACCCTGAGTTTCATGAAGTCAGTGGATGCACCTGCCTTCATCAAGAGGGTGCTGGGATCAGGGACACTGAGGGTTGTTGAGTCTCAGAGCGTGGCCCTTGGGCCGGTGCAGGGCAGCGTCTCCCTCGCGTCGGTGCCCTGCCCCGAGATGAAGGGCGCTGACAAGTTCAAGACTGCTGTTGCGGTCGATCTCGTGCCGACACCCTGTGGCTGCCAGGTATGGGCAGTTCAGTGCATGTGGAGGTTTTCCCAAAGGGGGTTCATGGGCTCCTTTCAGGTGCCCTGGGTGCGATTTCTCCAGTCACATCACGGGCTCACCCTCCCGCCGCCACACGCGGTGTCCATGCACCAGCGTTTGCCCTGCGCAGGATCCTCCTGTCAACCTTCTCAACCTGCTCTTTCATTGCAGGTGCACGCAAGGGTGAGCTGCAGCGCGGCCGGGCCCTACGGCCTGAGCGGCGCGATCGAGGGCTTCATGGCGGAGACCGCCAAGGCCAGCCTGGTCGAGTTTTTCGAGTTCTGCGCCAGGTTCCTGGCAGCTTCCGGCGCGGAGCGCCTGCTCGCCGGCGCCTCGGAGGCCCGCGCGCTACTGGAGGGCCTGGCGGCCCCGTCCCCCGCCCAGCTGCCCCGCGCGGATTCGGAGGCCTGGGCTGACGCGGAGGCGCTGCCCCTCCCCGCCGCCGACAGCGACTCGACGGAGGTGCTGTACCTGCGGTACCTGTGCAGCACCGGCGACCAGGCTGTGGCGCTGCTGCAGCGCATGGACGGCCGGCTCGCGCGGCTCCAGCGCGACCCGCGCCCCGCCATCCCGGCCCGTGACCTGGTGCTGGGCTTCGCGGCGGGGGTGGTCACGGCGTCGGCGCTGGGCGCGCTGGCCCTGTCCTGGCGCCGCCAGTCTCGCTGACTGGGGTTGTCCTTTTTCCCCGTAGCCCAGCTGCCACCGGACTGTTCCCTGCACCTCAAAGACCTCGAGGTCGCCTGACTGTGGACATGATGTCCCGCCTCCCTTGAACCGACACAGTGTGTCTTCTCCTCGTCCACTCCCTTGTTCATCATGGCCGGCCACACCCATGGTGCACTCTCCACGAACGCGCATACCCCCCAACCCCACCATTCTGTACCCGTTCCCTTCAAAGAACCCCTTGCACTTCACACTATTTGACCCTGTTACTTCAGCACTGCATCACAGACTCACGTGGGCTCCTCGTCTCCACCCCCCTGGTCAGCCCCCACGCCTCCTCCACCTGAGCAGCTCGGGCGGCAGGTGCTCCTCGCCGCCCCGCAGCACCCCCTCCGCCGTCAGCTGCGCCAGCCAGGCGTGGTACAGCAGGCCCCGCGCCCCCAGCCCGCTCATCAGCCAGACGGGGGGCAGCGCCGGCGCGGGCCCCAGCGCCAGCCGGCCGCCGTAGGGCGGCGTGCCGTGGTCGGTGCGCTGGGACACGACGCGCGTGCCGTGCGCGCGGTGCGCCACGCGCCAGGCCGCCAGGCCGGGCCACAGCGCGCGGGCCTGGGACAGCAGCTCCCCCGCCGTCCTGGGCGCCGTGCCGGGGTTCTGGTCGGGCGCCGCGGGGCGGTCCCAGGTTGCGCCAATGACGCAGCGCCGGGACCCTTGCGCCGCGATGTACGGCATGGCCGCCAGGCTGGGGGCGCCCTCGGGCCAGCCAGAGGCGTGCGCGGGCAGATCGCCGGCACAGCGCGCATCTGGGCTGTGTGCGTCGGGTTCCACCGCCGTGGTCGCGGTGGGGGGCTCGGCTCCATGGACCCGCTCGGGGTGCACTGCACCGGCCCAGCCCTCGGCCCCTAGCTCCAGCGTCAGGCTGATGCCGGCCACCATGTCCATGAAGGGGGGCAGGTGATCCTTGACCCCGGCCAGATCGGCCACCCCAGCCCCCATGGCCAGGACGATGCCAGCATAGGGGCCCTTGCCAACGTTCAGCTCCGCCAGGTCATGCACAGTGGTGTTCTCATGCAACACTGCCTCTGTGCCTGCTTGGCACAGGAGGACGAGCGGTTTGGTATGGGGATGGATGTACTGCAGTGGGTGCAGGCGTGACAGGGCAGACTGTGGCGAGGAACAACACACTCGCCTGCAACACCAAGCATAGGTGCGTCACAGACAGAAACCCATGATGAATATGGAGAGCGTCCCGGAACAAGCCAGAGTCCAAGCCAGGTCGCACCGAGCTCCCTGGCGCGCCGCTGCGTGTCGGCCCAGAGCCCGTCCAGGTATCCTTTTGTGTCGAGTGCCATCCCGTCAGAGAAGAGGAGGGCCCCCAGCCCTGCGCTGGCCTCCTCGGTCAGCCCAGCCAGGATGGCGTCCAGGTGTGAGGCCGGCACATAGCGAGCAGACGGCATGGTCTCTGCGGCAGCGCGTAGCTGCTCATCCTGCACATGGACACAGAGCGTGGATAAGGACATGGGTGGTCGTGTAGAGCAGTGAGTGGGGCACATCAGGGGCTGGAATCCAAGCCCTGTGCTCCACCGCCTCGCTACCTGCCGCTGGGTCTGGGCCAAGCGCAGAACGCCCTGACGCCATGCAATCTGTTTGCGGCCTGCGGCTTCAGCCACATCCACCAGGCGCCGGGTCGCTAGGAAAGCCTCATCACCTCGCCACATCAGTTTGCCACGGGGGCTGGTGGGGTGCAGGAGGCCGGCGGCGGCACCGCTGGCGCCGTCCGCCAGTCCCTCCCCCTGGACGATCAGGTCCAGGGAGAGGGGTTTTGTGGGGCTGCTTGCCTGCAGGAGGTGCCAGGCAACGGCCACTCCTGCCAGCCCACCCCCGATCACGGCATAGCGGGGGGAGTGGGCCGAGGTGAGGTGCCGCCCGCCCCGGGTCCTGCCATGGGAGGCAAAGGGATCGACGCCTCACGCAGTCATGCCAGGCGTCCAATGTCCACAAAATATCTGCGCCATCGCATGCGCGTTCTTTGCCACAACGTTACCTGATGCAGAGCGGAAAGTCAGGACGGAACCAACGCCGACCGGCCTGACAGGGCATCAACATGAAGCGCGCGATTTGACAAGCCAGACATCCTGGTGTGGAGCTCTTCATATAACGAGTCTCATAACCCAACCTGCCATCGTCCCATCAAGAGCAGTGTGTGGTGAGGAAGGATGGTCCCGGACCCATGGCCACTCTCACGCAGCACGCGAATCTTGGTGGAACCCTCGACAAGATGTCGACATCATGGCAAGTGACATGGCGCACCTTGTACTATAAAGCCATGATATTGCCATGATAACATCATGGAGCGCAAGGACGCCGTCGAGCTGCGCGAGGAAAAGCCATGTACAGTGCCCAACGGCAGTGCGTGGGTCCCTCCCGCTGAACCCAGCAACGTGGTAGAACCCAGTCCCGAACTACTCTGCCGAAGTATTCCAGTGCCAGACTGTTGGTGTGGGTGTCTCGCCAGGCAGCTCGCCTCCAAGACGCCTGAGAACCCTGGACGAGCCTTCTTCACATGCGCGAGGCGAAGAAAGGAGTGCGGTTTTTTCTGCTGGGCCGACGAGGTGCCTCTGCCACCCGTCCAGAAACCCGAAGCGGCCTTTAGCCTTGCTGGTGCGGCGTGAGGGGCCTGCATTCGGCATCCTGTCAATCAGGAGTCTGCCTGCTCATCACCCTTGGATCATACTCATGCGCCGCCCTGAGAAGTCTCCAGGACCTCGGGCCCCCCCACGACAGCAACCACTGGCCAAGTTTCACCCGCAGAGACTCCTGGCGAGAAAGGACGTACTGTGCCTTCAACTCCTGCGGCCTCTAGAGGCCATGTACCAGCCCCTCTTTGCGAACGTGGGGTGTCCTGCGCACGCCTCATCTCGCGGACTGAGCGAAACCCCGACCGCCCCTTCTTCAGATGCGGGGTTTCCAAACCTGGTTTCAGCAGAAGCAAGGGCTGCGATTTCTTCGCCTGGGTGGACGAAATGGGAGGCGAGTGGGCGGGTCATCTGCCGCGACGAGCTTTCTTCGCTACCAGCCCCACCCTTGTGTCCCCAACGGCTGTAGCCTATGGGAGCATTCCCAGCAATTATAGTTGTGCAAGCACCGTCAAGAAGTCCCTGGAGGAGGTGAGAGGAAAGCTGATGTTGGAGGATGAAGGATGTTGGACCCCAGCCATGGCCCACCATGGCGGAGTCCTGTGGAACTGGCGAAAGTCAAGCAAGGCGTTGGGGTTGTCCCAGAATCTGTATATGAACTGCTTTGTGGTTGTGCGCCATAGCTTATTGGACAAGAATTATTCAACCACATGTCATCAACCTCGTTCAGGCATACAGCCAGCCGGGGCGTGTCAAGATGGACTCGTGCAGTGGAGAGCATGCCGTGCGGCCTGAACCTAAGAATGAGGGCCTCGAAGCCGCAGTTGATCAATCAACGGACGATTGCTTGAGATGTGCGTAGCCGGAAGCTCGGCTGGAATGTTGCTGGTATGCCTGACTGTGCTTAATCTTGCTCGCGCACGGCTGCTACATCGACTCTCACCACTGTATGCTGCATGTGCAGGTGGCAAGCTGGGACAGTAAGTGTCGTCCGCATGGAGTTTGGGTTCCGTCTGATGTTTGCCATTAGACCTGGTTGGTCCATGGGGTGATTGTGGGAGTTTGTTTGTTGATGCCCCTCGACAGCAATTCTCCCGGTTTCCCACACCCGCATCGTGCAGTTGGATGGCACAGTGCCCGGAGGTAGGTCAGAATGCAGGTCCAACAATGCAGTCGCCGAGTGCAAGGGCTGGTAAGGTGGACAGGCCACCATTGCGCAATCAATGTGATGGCACTCGTCAACCCAAAAACAAAGGTACATTTCGAGCAGGCCCGGATTTTCGCATGCGCAGATTGAGGTGGGCATTCGCATTTGGACGGGCAGCATGGATGACGCTGATCGGGACCCCATATTTGATAGTGACAGGGCTTCCAGCCGGCGGCGGTCCCCGTCTCGGACTATCCGCACGCGCTAAGAAGAAACAGAGGCAAAGGGAGCGGAAAAGACAACGAGCAATGCATGCTGCCCCTGTCCAAGCCAAGCATGGGGCGTCGTCCTGAGGGCAACGCAACGGGCATACCTGCGGTGCAAGGAGAAGGTGCTCGCTCTCATCCCCTCAACCAAGCCTCGAGACTTCCATCATCCTCTCCTTGACTTGTGAGATGATACTGACTCTGAACGAAAGTAAGAAACAAGGACAGTGCGTATCAAGTGTCAAGCTGCCAGGGCGAATGTGGTCAGTGGGCAGAGGGCAGGTGTCCAGGGTCGACAGGTGGGCAGTTCACATTTGCAGGATGGCCCCCCTGGGCGTGTGGTCAGAGGGGACGGTGCTGTTTGGAAGGCTCGCATGCGGTGCCCCATGCCTCAGTCCTGCCGGCATGGGATCCAGCACGGCCACCACACGCCCCCCTCGGCTGCACCAGATGAAGTCGGTGTCTCGGTATGGCACCTGCGCCTTCCCCTGGGGCAGGCGCTGCCCCGCCTGGTAAGCCTCCTGCAGAGGGAAGGCGTGCTCCAGGCTCTCCCGATTGAGTCCCACCTGCTTCAGACGGCAGGCAGAGGGTGAAGCGGCATGGGCGGCAGCGCCTTGGGAAAGTCTCTGACAGCAAGTCGTGTGGCGCTGGGCTCTGGACCTGTGAAACACAGCCTTTGCCCCTACAGACTCAGTACTGCAACAGGCCACGAAGCAGCATGCCAGTATGCAGACTCAGGGTTGACGAAAACACCTTGTCCCACCCCCCATAGGCGCCAGGGTCACCAAGCCACTCCTCACCTTTGGCAGGCCGGCCTCCGTCCAGTGCGCGTCCACCCTGCCAGAAGAGAGGAATGCGCAGGGGGAAGCCTGTCGCGTGCTGCCCAGGTCCCCCGCCAGGACGAGCTGGGCGGCGGCAGCGGCCTTGCGGCTTCCCAACTTCTCGGAGAGCAGCCCAAGGATGGCCTTCAGCTGGTGCAGGCGGCTGCCTGGGAGCAGGGGCGAGGCCTCCAGGTGGACATTCACGACGTGGAGGTAGTCGCTGCTCCTCAGCGACGAGGCGGAGGGCTCCTGGCACGGCGCATCGTCCCTGTGCTGCAGGCAGACCAGCAGCCCGTGCTGCGCCTCCTGGGTCCACTCCAGGGCAAACTTGGCATCCTTGTAAAAGACCGCCAGCACGCTGCTGCATGAGTCCGGGGGCTGGGCCGCCGACCGGGTATGCAGGACCGGATGATACCCCCGGCTCGAGAGCAGGTCCACCAGCTCTTGCCAGCTGCAAAGAGCAGGGCAAGCGCATGAAAGCGGGTTGGCGATGGGGCAGAACGTGTTGCCCGAAGGGCCAGCAGCCAGTGACAGGCATTCTTGCAAGAATACCATGAACGGCAGCCAGGATGCAGCGGGGTGCGCCTACAAGGCAGTGACACCAGATTCCCCCAAGAAAACCGCACCTGTGCATGGACACCTCCTGCAGACAGATGATGTCGGCGTCACTCCCACTGATCTGGGTTGACAGGAGCCTCCAGCGGTGGCTCCATTCTAACGCTTCCGGGGACACGGCCCTCAGCGTCTTGGCACGCCCGGGAGCATCAGTGAGCATGTTGTAGGAGAGCACTGAGAGCTGCCCGAGCCCAGAGGTCAGGGACTGGCCGGCCGCAAGGAGGTTGGCCCGAGCCCGGACATGTTTTAACTTCCGATGAATCAGGTGCAGGATCAGGCCCGCGGCCAGGGAGGCCAGGGTGCAGTACGTGACCGACATCGAATCCTGGAGTGCTGAGACATCAGTACTGATGGGCCAGCGCTGCAGGGTCAGCCAGGTCGGCTGTCGCCGTCTGGCGGGGTCCTGCGAACCCAGTGGGCCAGAGGGCTCCTGCCCCACCAACACGATGAGCCCCGAGAAAGAGACCGAAGGGTGCAAGAATGCAGGTGGCAGTGTGGCGAGAGGCAGTGCGAGCGGGACAAGGCATTCGTACAGTGGGTGTTCGATGTGGTCGGGATTTGATGCCGCCCCGAGTGGGAGGGGTAAGGAGGCCCGTCCCAGAAACCCAACCCTCAGTGTCCTCGGGAAATATGTGTACATTCCAGGCTGCAGGGCAGCGCAAGACTTAGCACGGGAACAGAGACGGCACCACCAACTCGGTCGGTGATTATCTCCGGAACAATTATCAGGGTTTGACTCCCCCGCCCACCCCGGGCAGGGTGAACGCCGCAGGCGCCTGGGACTACTGCTGGGAGCAGGCCACACGCTGTCCCCGCTGCCCGCCCTCCTCATCGCTGTCACTGTCGTACTGGCCACCTGGGGAGCATGGGAGGGTGGGCACTCAGATCAGTGAGCAGAGCCTTGGAGTCACCTGTCGCCCTGCAGTATGAGTCCCAGCCATGCAGATCCACGGCTACGACAGCCTTGCACCAGCCAGGCCCTGCACACCCCGGGTCCGGCACCGTGCATGCGCTCAGTCCAGCCTCTGTGCACGTATGCCCCGCCTCCGTCGCGGCTCTGCATTGCCCCCGCCACACCCCACTAAACCATTTTCGCCCACCCACGCCGGCACTCACCAGTGCGTCGCTCATGCTCCCTCCGGACCTTGATCTCGGCCTCGATGTCCTTCACGGGCGTCAGCTGCACCTCCTCCAGCTCCTCCATGGGCACCACACCGTTGGTGTGAGCGGGCTCCCCCAGGAGCGAGCGCAGGGCGGATGCCGCCTCGGGCGCCAGCTGGTCTGGGAACTCCACCGCAAAGTGGATGTAAAGGTTGCCCTTCTCGTACGGCCGGCCGTGGATGGGCATGCCCTCGTTCTGCAAGGGGGTTGTTTGGAGTTGGGGGATTCCGAGCCTGCACACTGGCCAGACCATGGCTGCCGCCAAAAGGACAGCCTCGAGGCCAAGGCATGCCGACGTGGCGGTGCATAAATCCCGGCCCCAACCCCGCGGGAGCATGAGTGTGCCCCTGATACAAAGTGCCTCATCTGCAGGGCACCAGCACCCCTGCAACCCCATCCAGTCGCCCGGCCAGCGGTGCATGCCCCCTCCTCCACACACACACACCCCTTTTTTCCCCCCCCGCCGCACCTTGATGGCCATCCAGGAGTCGGGCTTGATGATGCTGCCGGTGCTGTTCACCTCCAGCACCCGGTTGTCGAGGTGGGTGATGTGCAGCAGCGCCCCCGTCAGCGCCTCCACCAGCGACACCTTCTTCTCGTAGAAGAGGTCAGAGCCGATGCGCTTGAAGGTGGGGTGTTCCTTCTGCTCCAGCACAAAGATGAGGTCGCCGGGAAGAACGTCGGGGGCATCAGCCCCCGCCTCCCCCCGGAACAGGACCTTGGAGCCGTGGCGGTGCCCGGGCTCGACGTGGACCTCGAACACCTTGCGATCGGAGACCAGGCCCTTGCCGGAGCAGGCGCCGCAGCGGTCGGAGGGGGGGTTGAAGGACCCCGTGCCGGAGCACTTGGAGCAGCGCTGCTGGATCTGCTGCATCATGCCGGGGCCCAGCGGGCGCAGCTTCACCTCCACACCCGAGCCGTGGCACACCTCGCAGGTGTACTTCTTCCCTGACTTGGACCCGGAGCCCTGGCAGGTGGGGCACTTGATGCTGCGCGACATCTGCAGCTTGCGCACGTTGCCCTTGTACATCTCGTCCAGGGACACCTTCATCTTGTGGGTCACGTCCTCGGAGCGGCGCTCGCGGGGCGGGCCGCCGCGGCGGCCGCCGCCGCCCATGCCGAAGAGGTCGAAGATGTCGGCGGGGCCGCCGCCGCCGCCGCCCATGCCCTCCTTCAGGCCCTCCTCCCCGAACTGGTCGTAGATCTTGCGCTTCTCGGGGTCGCGCAGCGTCTCGTACGCCTCGTTGATCTCCTTGAACTTCTCGGGGTCGCCACCCTTGTCGGGGTGCTCCTTCAGGGCCAGCTTGCGGTGGGCCTTCTTCACTTCCGTCTCGCTGGCGTTGCGGTCCACCCCCAGGATGTTGTAGTACCGCTGGTTGTCCGGGGGCTTGCCGGCACCGCCGCGCCCGCCGCCCATGCCGGGCATCTCGCCGTAGGGGAAGCCACCTGGGAATCCACCGCCACCGAAAAACATGCTGAAGTGAGCTCGACTACGCCCTGCAGGTCGAGGAGGCGCGTCAGGGTGTCAAGAATAGAACCCAGGTAGGCAACAGGATCGACCGAGCCGAGAAGGCCATGTTGGACCCGGGGCTGCTGCCCCGCAGCGGGGGATGCAGGGGGGATGTCTCAGGAAGGCAGAGCGCGGCAAGCGGCCAGGGCACTCTAGTACTGCCACACAAGATATCAGTGCACCCATACGGCGGTTTACCTGGTGTCAAATGGGCTAGAAAGGCCCCTGCTGCGCTCTTTCAGTCAGCGGCTGCGTGATCGACGCCGAGACACCGTCCTAATCTCGCTCGAAAGATACCTAGGGCCTCTTTCACGACGGCTATTTTACCTGAAGTGTGCTTACTATAAAACCCCTAATGGTGTTTGGGGACGACATCCATTCGCAAGCCTGGCAAGGGCTCTGAGGTTTCACCCGCTTGACCTTCTGGAAGGGGGGCGCTGGAAAGCCGGAGTACAGAGACCCTCCTCGTTTTTTTGGCGCTCCTGTCGGGCAATGTATAATCAACTCCGAGTTTCTATCTTCATTCAACACACTTTATGAGAGAATCTGTGCCTTACATGGTGTTGATACTTGGTATGGGCACATACACCGTCTGCAAAACCAAAATGGTGCCGCTGAGCAGTCTTCCTGGAGCAGTGTATACATCTGGCTTCAATTTTAACATTCTGCATCACTGCTGCGTCAGCACGCCCTTGGAGCTGGCGATTTGGCCTTGTCGTCGAGGATCCACCTCACATGCTCGCCGCAGCGCTCGCGCGAACGCCTTGAAGGCCGCCTCCACTATGTGGTGCGAGTTCTGTCCAGCAAGCTGCGAGCGGCGATGGAAGCGAGCGTGCAGTAGACGATGAGAAGGAAAGCAACAGGAGAAAAGATGACAGCATGGCAGCAGCACCTCTCCAGGAACCAGGGCTCCAGGAGCATGCACAGCAAGATATTCTGGGAACACGAGAACAACCCCCGAAACCCCGCTCACACACCACTCCTCGCTCCCTCACCTGACGAATGTGCAGTGTCATCCCACTAGTGTTTGCCAGGGACTGGAAGAAGTGCTCCACCAGCTGCACCTCAAACCTGCCGATGTTCTCGGTCCTGAAGGCAAGGTCGTAGCCCAGGTAGGGCCTACCAGACAGGTCCAGCACCACATCCACGAGAGCCTCATCCAGTGGTGCTGCAGCGAGGGGGGCGGGGGGTGCAGATTGAAGGCTTCAAGACGTCATGGGTCACCGAGAACCTTCCCCCTTCATGGCACAGGGCATGCATGAGGGTGGCAGGCACAAGCCTTGTGTGGGTCCGTCCTGAAGCAAACAACGCTCACCTGAGAAGTTTCCAAAGCGGTGGATACCCTTGCGATCTCCCAGGGCTTGCGACAGCGCGGTGCCAAAGGCCAGAGCAATGTCCTCATTGGTGTGGTGGTCATCGATCCATGTGTCGCCCTGTTGTTCAGTGATTAGGAAGGTCGCGCTTGGGAAAAGCGTCTTGGGCCTCTGTAGCGAATGGGATCCCAATGCTCTGTGGCTGGGACCTGCAACAAGGCAAAGGAGCAGACGCACCTTTGCTTTGACTGTGAGGTCAAACAGACCGTGCGAAGAGATCTGATCGAGCATGTGATCCAGGAATGGGATGCCAGAGTCATTGTCAGCCTGGCCCGTGCCATCTAGGTTGATGGTCACCTCCACCCTTGTTTCCTTGGTCTCACGCTTCACAGTGGCCACGCGCACTGAAGAGGGAGGTTGAGAGCATTCAACCACGCAAGTGTTCGGGATTGCAGACCATGCTGAGATCGTCAGGAGCAAGCGCTGCACCCACGACCACATACGTGAAGACTCTCACCGGGAGCCATGGCTGGGGCAGCTCCATTCATGGCGACGCCCGCGAACACACGCAGGCCCCGTTTACTTGCAGAGACCGAACGTGGAATATCTCCCGTAAACGCCGGGTATGTCCTTCTGCCAGCTCGAGAGCCCGAAGCCAGGCTCAACCTGGACATGCTCGTCATGGTCACGCTGATCCGAAGGGTCAGTCGGACTCTTGCAAAGATGTAAATGCTATGCCCTCAGGATGGCGTATGGTAATGCGTCCGCCCGTGAACATTATAGGAAGCCATACGCTAGAGCTTCCCACACGTTCGCGCCCCGACTGCACTTGGAATTCCGGGGGTGACATTCGCAGCCCGCTAGAAGCGCTGTCAATGGGCGTTTGGTTGACCTGCATGCATACTTGGAGCACACCTTTACATTTCTGAATTGAATTTGATTCAGCTTAGAATACGCGGAGGGCTTCCTCAACGTCGTATATAAACATAGCCGTGCCCGACATTTGTGCCCTGTTGGCCGGCGTTCCGCCTGGACCTCACTTTCTCCTGACATGGGTTCGGGAACGACAGAGATCATGGCCGTAGGACATGAGAAGGACGGAGGTATGAAGAGTGGGCCTCTGTGGTCTGCGCGCGACACATGGTATTAGAGGTCGGCCCCCTCCAACCTCCCTCAGCCTGCCCACCATCCCATCCATCCCATCCATTGCCTGTACGCAGACTTCCTGGGAGTCAGTTCCGAAGAGGAGGATGTGGAAGATCAAGGCACTTGTAGTGATGCATCCGACCCTGAGACAGATCCAGAGCCCAGCGGGAGTGAGGATGCCAGTGCCTCTGGGGGCCACGACGATGACGACTTTGGCGACGATGACTCACAATTGGATGAGGGTGCGCTGAAACCCTGGAAGACCTTCCCCTGGGTACTCATCTTCTGACTGCTGATGATGCACATGCAGTAGCAGCCATCTCTGCGTGCCCTCTGGCCCTGCATGTCCCTCTGCACCACATCGCCTTGCGCCCACCATATACTATCTCACCTGGCGCCCCGCCTCGTTCTCCTATCAGAGAGCGCCTCTGACAGCGCCGTTGAAGACGAGGAGGAGGCTGGCGGGGGCGGATTGCTGGCAGGGAAGCAGGCATCCATCGCCAAGGCCTTTGCAAAAATCTTGAACAAGCAGCTGCCAAGGCCGGCAGTCGGCAAGGGTCAGGCGGGGGAGGAGGCCCCGGGGTCCTCGGCCCCGGCCCCCATCCTGATCTCGAGCGTGACGGTCGCCAAGCGGAAGGCAGAGGACGAGGCAGAAGGCGCTCGGACGAAGGCGGCATGGAAGATGATGCAAGAAATGCGAAAACGTGGCCACGTGGTGAGGCTGTGATGTAAGCTGCAGAACGAGCTCTCATGTGCATCCCCTCTCCTGATCGCAATACTCTGTTGATCTCCTGGCACTCTTGTACTGCATTCTAAACCACGGCAGCGATGCGGTGAATAACCGCCAGCCCCCCCCACAGCCCCGGCTGTCGACTCTGTTTGGCAGGCTTGCCTCACAATCCCCCACACCCACCCCGGCCCCATCCCCACCTCCAACAGATCCCCGCCCGGCGCGGCGAGGATCCCGAGGCCGACGCCCGGGAGAAGGCGCTGCAGCGGTCTGCCACACGCGGCGTGGTGCGCCTGTTCAACGCCATCGCGGGCGCGCAGCGAAAGCGACGCGAGGCGGAGGCCTCCGGCGCGGGGGCGTCACAGGCGGCGCGCCTGGGGCGCGCGAGTCTCCTGTCCAAGCTGCGCAACCCGGGGCCCGCCCCAGAGACGCGCCTGGTGCCCAGTGCGCGGGGCGCGACGGGTCTTGTCCCCGGAGCTCCCGCCGCAGGCACTCGGGACCCTGCCAGCGAGAGCGAGGAGGAGGGAGGCGCGGGCCAGGGCTGGGAGGTCCTGCAGCGCTCCTTCACCGGGCTGCAGGGCGGACGCAAGATGAAGGACTGGGACCGGGCCCAGGCGGCAGGGGAGGAGGAGGCGGTGGCAGGACTGGACTCCAGCGACTCTGAGTGAGGGAATGATTCCTGTGGAAAGTAAACAAGAACGTCAGGCGACAGGGGGGAGGGGGTTCAGCAGGGTTATCGAAAATGGAAAATGGAAATTTTCGAGCTGAAAATCCCGCCATATCGAAAATTTTCGGGCTATAGTACATCAGGAGCTTCATGCAGGGGGGAGGGGGGGCGAGGAGGTAACACGCTTGGCCATATGAGTGTTTAAATCTGCATCAGATAGCATGTTAGCGTCCAGGAGATACCCATCGTGAAAGAGCTCACTCAAGGGGCAAGTTCTGTCTATGGCATGCAGAAAACGGGAGTTGGCACAGATGTATACCAGATCCGTTGCACTTCCAATGTAAAGCCTACCCTGTAACGTGCTGTGAACGTATTGGTACCAACTCCAGTTGCATTTTGCGCACGCTGCGCTTATTTCCACACTTGCTCAGCCCGCCCACACCATTCTCACTGTGCGCTGGGTGTGCCTGGCCCCGATGGGCTACTGCCATGTCAGCTCGAAATTTCGGAGTCGAAATTCGAGAATGGAATTTCCCCGAATATCTCGCGCCGTTTACCTCGAAACCCGTAATTTCGGTAACCCTGGGGTTCAGATCTGACACGTGGGACACGTGGTGCTCAATAGACTGGACTTCCCGCCAGCGAAGTCCGGCATCCAATTGAGAGGGGACGGCCTGGAGCACGCATGGGCCGCTGCTCTCACATGCATTAGAATCTCATGTGGCGAGCAAAACCCATGCAAGCGCTCGCCTCGAGTGGGGCGCGAATGGCTGCAGCGCATGGGGCCGAGTAGGAAGGGCGAACCTCCCGGGCTCCTTCCCCCTCCCTAAGGCCCCTCTCCACACCGCGATGTCTCTGCGTCGGGTTTTCAGCCGGCCCCAGTCCGCGGGGCAGGCTGCAAACACATACTCCGACTCAGAGGTGGGCCTCCCTGCATTGTTTTCACGACATCATAACGCGAGAGTTTCCTTGTTTGGTACGAACCTCCGTGGCCCCACCCCCCTCCGCCCCAGGCCCACGCCGTACGCTTCGCCACACCCGCCGAACGGGTGATAGAGCAGCTCACGGCAGACCTGTTGGACGCCCAGCGCTTCATCGCCAAGTTGCAACAGGTGTCCTGGTGTGGTGGGTGGTCGTGCGGTCGCCTCCCCGGTCCTGCTCGCGTGCCATGCTCACATTGCGCCATCGCCCGCCCAACCCGCCAGGCACAGCAGGATTCCGAAACCCAGATTCGGAAACTGCGAGGTTTGGGCGACTACAAGGCTGCGCATGACCGGCTGGCCAAGGAGCTCTCACAGGTGTGCATGACCGGGGTTCCGGCCATCCGTCCGTGCTTGGCAAGGGGGGGCGGGCGGGTGTCCCTCAGATCCCCACGCCGAGATGCCCACCTGGGCACCTCCCCTCCCTCCCCACAGAGTCAAAAGCAGTGTCAATCGCTGGCAGCCCAGCTGCAGGCCACACACTCGGCCCTCAACCACTCCCAAGGTGCGTCATCCAGGGGGGCGGCCATGGCATGCACGCCCCTTGGCCCTCCCCTGCGCACCTGCAGGGAGCTTGGTCCATTTCGAAACCTTTGTCAGATCTGAACAATTTTGTTTGCTGAGCAGGACACAGGGTTGTAGAATGTGCCGAGGCAGGCCGGCAGCTACCCAGCCACTCTCTTTTCCCAGGCACCCATACTACTGTCAGTTCTCCTCCCCTCACCCTATCACATCCTCGACCACCCTCACCTCACTAGGGGAAGCTCACACTCTCATGTCCCCACCCCCACTCCTCGCAGGTAGCACGGCCCAGACCCTAGCTCAGCAGAGCGCCATGATCGAGGAGATGCGACGCAAGGCCCGGTCCCAGGACTCCGAGCTGTCCACCGCCCACGCCACGCTGGCCAGCCAGCAGGCGGAGCTGGACCGCACGGCGCGCCGGCTGCTGGAGGCCCAGGCCGCGCTGCGCGCCGGCGCGGCCGGCGCCGCCGGTGCCGACGCCGTCGGCGCGGGCGGGCGGGGCGCGCGCCGCGACGCGCGCCCCGAGCTCGATGCGCTGCGCCGATCGGAGGCGGAGGCCCGCGCCG